TCACCTCGAACAAGAAAAAAAAATAGAAGCCGTTGCTAACATCGGCCAAGAATGAAACTTAACGAGTATTACATACTTGAATGGCCCGTCCTCACTAGTTGTGCGAGCCCCAGCATATTCACTATTTTTCGGAAATTTGCTGGTGAAGCCATTGTGGTTTCTTGGAATCCCGAGGACAGCCTGGCCAAAGTCAGCCCCAGGTTGTCACCACCACAGGCAGTCGCAGCCCTTGTGGATCAGAGGGATGTTTGCCACAGTGCGACTTTAATACCAGGACGGCGGTGGATTCTGGTATTGGTTTACTCTTAGCTAGGTTTCCTGATGGGAACGCCGGTCTCCTCCCTAGCTTGGGAGATCCTGCAGGGGTGACGAATCCCCCTGCTGTGCATCGTAGCTCGACACCCAGGAATACCTCCCAACCACGATGAGGCGACAAACCGTTGGGAGAGTCATCTCCTGTATTACGTTGTTTTTTAAGCGTTGCGCTAAATATGAATGATAGGATGAGATTATTTGAATGAAGAATTACGTCATATCTCTCCCTAATAGGGAAATCGTGAAAGTACCGCGATAAAACAGTGTGTTTGTAGAACGAAATCACATGAATGATTCGTCCTCTGCCAAACTTCGAAACGCGGATGGCCCGGCTTCAATGCAAGTAATTGTGCAGGGACCAACAGTACTTCCATTTCGCTGGCATTTTGCTGATTTGTAAAGACCTTTTCCTTGCAGTTGCAAAATAACAAGCTATTTCAATCCTATCTCGTCATCGTTGAAAGTTGCTTATCGGCAGGGACTTTACCGCGTGGCCTTCATATTTCTTGCAGTTAGGCAGCGCTTTATTTGCTTGACTTATGGATTGGCTTACAGATGGAGACTATCTTCCTCAACGCTAAGTAATCAGGATGGAAAGTCAGTCCAAGTAACAACGACGATATCACCTGTATCACTTGTCAATCCATTAATCATCGAGTGACTCGAGTGCGCGCCAGTAAATATGCTATCCTGCTGTCGCGTACAAGAGTGGCCCAGTGGGTTCTTCTCACTCTAGGGCTAAGTTGTTCATCATGTTGATTTCCCGACCTTCATTGGCGTAACTGGAAAATTTGGTGAAATTCATTCTGTTGAGCATGAGTGGGCATACGAAACCAATCCGTTCCTCGATGAACATCGATTTTGTGAGATTTAGTCGAAGACAAATCTTTCCGCTAGTGTTATCAAAGTCGGCTAGATTCGTTCTACCTGGATAGTGGTCGGTGTGATAAGAACGGTGTAACCAACAGAACGAAGATGCTATAATTCCCGACCATAAAAACAGCAGAGACGAGAACCTTGTATAACGAGAGTGGGGTGGCCAAAATTCAACCCGACGCACATCAACGATCGAAATTGATGATTCCGTATAACCCAAGGTGTGAAAAGTTAGTAGGGTAAGAGAAGTGATGCGGTTTAAAGGTAAGCTGTTAGGTAAGGACCATTATCAACTAGATTTTACAGCATCTCAAGCACAGGGCACTAAAAACGGATCTGGTGGCCATATTTCCTCACAAAGACTATTAGAACAAGTGCAATGCTCTTAGGGCTTCCACAAGGACACGGCAAGAATTTATAGGTACTTTAATAGTAGCTGTTAAAGTCATTTTATCAGCTATAGAATATGTTTTACGATTCATATGGTTGTGCTTATAGATGCACATGTCGAGCGAAGCAACTCGACACCTAGGGACATCGATTAGCAGAAATACCGAACGAAACTATTGAGGAGCTCCTCTTCCCTTGTACTTTAAAAGCACTCCAAATCATTTAACTAGTTTCATTTGAATATCGATGCTAATATAACAGTTTATTATAAACGTTCCACTATTCTGTTTATGGCATATTCAGCGGAAATCATGCCGGAAATTGCTGATGGCAAAGGATCGATAAAATTAGCTGAGAGACAAGCGAAACGAAGGACCCGCATAGTGTGATGGTGAACGCGTTACTTCCCGGAAAGGACAATAGCGCGTTCGTTCCCCACCGCAGACACCTGCTGTCCGGAGTTTTGCAAATATCTCAGCGCTATATTAGTCATATTTCGCAAAATACCCTGACTTCGAAGGAATAGGCAGTAAATAAAAAGGTTAAGATTGTGATTATACCTGTTTTCGTTAAATGTTAAGCACAAACACTGGGAAATGATCAATGCTCCGCATATCGCCCGTTTGTACCCACCTAGGGCAATGTGTTCCCAATTCGAAGCGTTATTGCTTCAGGAAGTGTGCGTAAAGCTCTCAGAAGTTTGACTAATTGGCCATCGACTCACTGACATCGCCACCTGTTTGTCAACACTTTTCATTTTCGCGTTCGTTCATATTCGAACACCTCCGTCAATGACGACCACGATAATCGGAGTCGTAAATCTCGCCCAGTTGGCAAATGACCGATGTGTTCTCACACATCACCATATTCTGAACTAATATCATCTGGGCAGTTGCTATGGCTACTGAGAGCAGTTGCGTTTTCAGTAGATGTGCATCGTGTTCTTGTAAATATCGACGAACAACCGGTGTTATGAGGAACTTTAACGACACAAATTCTGACACAATAAACGCAGTGATGAAACAGGAATGTTAAGAGGAAAAAAACACGTGCTTCCCGTTCCCTGTCTGTTTTCAGTTTTCACTCTCATACGGGAATGATGTTCTTTTGTTGACGATCCTTCAAGACAACGTTAGGTTTCCTGCTGTGCGCATTGACATCGACCGTCTGTCGATTAGAACGAATGGCGTTGTGACAAGAAACAAACAAAAAAACACTCGCAACTGAACTTCTTTCATTTTCTCTTCGAAGAATAAAATCTGTATATTGGTAACTCAAAAGATCGACTTTCTATAAACCCTGCCATAAATAATTGAGATATTTATTTATATGTTGTTACAAACTGACTTTGTTGAGCCGATGCGAGGTTGGTATAGGTATTCGTTGTCGTTGTTGTTGTTGTTGTTGTTGTTGTTGTTGTTGTCGTCGTCGTTGCTGTTGGTATTGTTGGTTGATGGCTGACGTTTCGGTTGGTTTTCGACAGTGTTTTCATTCGTTGCCAACGTTCAGTTTCTTAGTCATCATGGTTGTTTCGTTTGACTTGCGTTTAACTTGAAACCGGTGAACTGTGCCGATGTTTTTCTGATAAGTGCACTGATTATTGCTAATTTCTTCACTCATATATTTCCAAACTTCCTACGTGATACTTGATACTTGAGCGGTCCGTCCATACTGGTTGTGCGGGCCCTAGCACAATCTCCATTTCTCGGAGACCTGCTGGTCAAGCCATTGTGGTCGCTTGAGTCCCGAGGTCAGCCTGGCCAAAGTCTGCCCCAGGTCGTCACCACGGTAGGTAGTCGCAGCCCTTGTGGATCAGAAGGAGATTTGCCACCATGCGACTTTTATATCAGGACGATGGCGGATCCTGGTATTGGTTTACTCTTAGCTAGGTTTCCTGATGGAAACGTTGAATTCCTTCTCAGCTTGGGAGACCTTGCCAAGTGGTGAATACCCCCGCTGTACATCGCAGCCCGACACCTAGGAACACCTCCCAGCCACGACGAGGCGGTAAACCGTTGGGAGGATTTCCATGCTTTTCTTTAGTAAAATAGAATAAATTCTGTGGTAAAAAGTAAACGTTCTGGTAAAGAAACCTCTGCTCTGTAGTAGATTTCTCCGAAACCGACGACTTATGGGAGCATATTGATGATGTTTATCTACATGTGATGGCCGACTAGTGTTGAGAAGCTATCGTCAAATGATTAATGGTGCAGTAGATCTCATCAAGAAAATGGAATATTTCAAACTTTTTGAAGTATTTTCAAAAAACGAATGACTCAGTTCTCACTTTAGTTCTAGAGAATTCTCGTAATTCAACTGGAAGTTCACGTGATTTCTACTCATCGAATAAAAAGTGAAGAGGTTCGATTGCCGTGCTATCATGCGAATGTCATTGCAATCGTCACCGTTATCCTGTCAATCGTTTGAGCTGTGTTTTTTATACCAGATATTTTAAAAAAGAAGAGAATGCTGTTCTGACTTTAGAAAATGGTGCTAGAATAGTTTTATATGAACTGTGTCGTCCGTTTTCAATGGAATTAGAGCCCATTGTGGCCAAGCAGTGTGCTCTGGTGTCGAACTCCCATGTACAGGAAGAGCATATTCCCCAAACTCAGCAAGAATACCTAGGCTTTAGATGACGGTGAATCATGTACGAAGAACTGATGTGGGAGTAGAGGGAGTAAAACAGCGTCGGAAATCACCACTATTACGGCAGAAAGCTTGCCACAAGACGGCGAGCCTTCGACTCATCCACAAAAGTGTTGACCACTTTAGGTGAACTGGGGTACACCTTAGTACGGGTACTTTAAAAATCAAGAGAAAATTCCTTGAACCACAGAGTTCAATGAAAACTGCTTTTTTGCATACACGATGTGTCCTTTTATCATTTATGTATCAATTGTCACGTTACTATTGTTTGTATTGCAAGTAATAAAAAAGAACATAGTGATCAATACTCTGGGTATATGCCTTCATCCAAATATCGGCTTATTTTGGTATATCGGTGTATCAAGCCCAAGCCAGTTCCTTTATCTCTCCAGAGAAGCCCAATTTGTACGACTTAAAGGAGTGAAGGGTTTGGCCTTTTTCGGTGTTCGGAATCCAACCAAAAACCATGACTGCATTGTAGCGTGCCTCTAACCACTACGTCTCGTCCTTCACATATAATAGGACAAATATTGCTAAACATACTGCTCATTTTACAACAACCATATAAAAGAAAAGGCTTGAGAAACAAAACTAATGGAAAAAAAGTCCGTTCGAGATAGCTGTAATGTAGTAAATTTATGCTTCCAAGGGCAATTTATGCACGTTAGCTATTAGCCTAAATCGTGTTCGAAATGATCATATTGAACAGCATGGCGTTCCCCAGTTAATTCGGAGCGTCCTCTCACTTACATTAGCGTTCTTGTCGTCTGTCAATTCTGATCAGAATCACTCTGAACGTGCATCAAAGTGGGACTGTCAACACTACCATCACCACCCATCATAACGGGTTCCTCCAGCGCAACGACCTCTTCCACCACTAGACTTCCTCCACCACCACAACCTCCCTGCACCGCCAGGACCTCCTCCACTGCCAGAACCTCCTGCACCACCCCGTCCTTCCCAAGCACGAAGACCGCCTCAACTACCACGTCCTTACCCATTACCACGAACTCTTCCATCATTACGACCTCCTCCACAGCAACGATGTACACGCGGGCCGGACGGACGGCCGATACTCCGCCTCCATATTGTGCGCAAACCACGCCCACCTCGCCACCACGTACCCTTCGACTGCGACAACTCATTTGTCTCGTTACTGCCTGTCGCTGAACATGATCACCATCACCGTCGTCTTGATCGCCAGCTTTCTGGCATTGGCCGCTAGGGCCCAGACAGATGCTGGCACGTCACAACCAATCTGTTCAGTCAATCAGCTATTCAACGGGCAGATTTGTACTTGTGCGCCAGGGTCAGTCAGTTCATCGTTTCCGTTTCATTTTAATTTTTTTTTTACCTAGATTAGATAACAACAGATCCTGTAGAGCTTACGAATTCGAATTTCTGGTAGGATTTTTCAAACTCCTTTTTCAATTTCGTTGATGTGCATAGACAGTTGGATGTCCTAAGACGGGTCATTTTTGCTTCTGCTATTCATTGAATGATTCGATCGTGCCATGCTCTAGCAAAGTGTCCTTTTGTTCCTGGCGTGTGCGCACTAGCCCAATGAATACCTTTGCCCGCTGATCACGACCACATTTCTTCGTTCAATGTTCCAATGAAGACATCTGACCATCGGATTTATTGTCTTTTGTGTCTGTCATTTTCCGTAACTCTGTTATCAACTCTTGGTAGTTGAGAGTTGAAATCTTCACAATTTGATCGAACATCGTGGTGTTCGCGTTAGTGTTCATGATCTTTGGTCGTCGACTAAGTTAAACTTTGGATTGCTTCTCTCCTTTGCGCGATACCGAATACTCCCAACGTCACTTTCTCCAGAGCTCGTCCATTAACGGTCAGCTCACTTTGATCTTTTTGTGTAGCGTGCAGGTTTCAAGGTCTTACGTTAATACAGGAAGAACTGTGGAAACAAGTCGGTAAGTATCAGATCTTGATGGTCCAGCTTTATGCCACACTCGTTTACACTTCATTTAGCTTCATCAGTTTTTTCCCACAATTTCCTGATTTTCACCTACTGCAATATTTCGGATTGAACTGGATTGCTTTAGTCAGTTTCACCTTTACTGGATCCATTGCAAAAGTTTTCATCCCGAAATTGAGTAAACCATTCCGAAATTGGCCACTTTGTTTTCTTCAAATCCTATCCTTGTTCAGCTAAAAGTTTAAAATCGCATTCTGAATACAGTCTCTCTCACTATTAACTTCAATTTGCTATTACTAAAACAACGATGTGTTTCTTTTAAAGCTGTTCCCAGAAAAAACCTCGTGGTTGCTGGTTGTGTTCCGGCCTTCGAAAATAAGCGTTTGTCTTTTTTTTTTTCGATGTCGTACCATTCCTCCTTCTTGTAGATTTTCTCTCACTCTAACGTTAGTTGTTAAGTAGTCTCAGAAATCCAGGAATACTTTCGATAAATCCACGCGTGGTTGCTTCACTATCAACTCTTCTGCTCCATAATGAATGATACCCGGCGAACTAAACCATGTTTGAGGTTAAAATTTTAGCGCTAAGGCGATTCATTAACAGTGAACTGTGGAGAATTTCCTCCTTACTTAGTTCACAATTCTGATGTTCTATGGATACATTACTCTTCAAAGTGTTCCACAGGAAGTTCATGGTTTTGGAGTATTCACGTATTCTGTTTTCGCTCTCTGATTCGTTTGCACTTAAAAAGTTCGTTTAGTGTAAAAATTCCTATCTATTCGTTTATTGTTCATCCAGAAAACGGGATTCTGTGATCGTCACGAAGAGGTGTTCCATCTGAGCACGCACGTTCCTTCCCAAGAACTCATCTTTGGCATATAAACATGTGTATTTTCTCTCATTCAATTCCTAAGCTACCGTGTGTAAGTAGATGAACGAATGTATGTAAGTGCTTGAATGACTGAATGAATGTATGAATGGTAACGATCGCTTAAAGTGTGTTTTTTCCTCTTTTCTTCGTCCAAGGTCGTAGTGCGTGAAGCAACCAAACGCCCGGCTTAAATCACGACCTTCGATAGGAACTAGCGATTACGGTCTAAATTTAACACTTCGCTAAGATGCATTTCTATTTTTATACAATAAAGAAAAAATAGAGGGATGAAATTGGAAAGGACTAGAGCCGTTTATGAAGAAGTGTTTTCTGTTCAGAAAAGTTTCACCGATTATAGTTAAATTGTCAAAGGCATCAAGTCGTAGCTATAAGGTTTGTTACGATTTAAGCGATAGACCTCAAATCTATTGAGTGAATGGAGCAACTATCTTAGTAAATTGCTTGTTTGGGTTTAATAAATTGCCTAGTTAGAATTTGCTTCTTGTGGTAGATTTGGACGGGCGCCTATAGAGAGGGGTTAGAGGTGTTTCCACGATATTCGTAGTATTTGGTTTGATCCCACGCTCCGGGTTAACCAAGCGTTCCATTCCCTTCGGGATTGGGAAATTGTTATCAAAATTTGTCTGCGAGGATGAAAAGGCCGGCGTGTACATCGGTAAGGCCCCAAAAGTCATCGTATAAGCCAAATATGTCCTCAGACACCTTTACAATAGCACGAGTGAAGTCGAATGCATGGAGCATTACTATGGAATTGATCAATGCTGCACGCTTTATCGATTTATCTTTTGTGATAAATTTGAGGTTCAGTAAACGAGAAAAGTGTTCTGGAAGTCATAGAGGCTGATTTCGGACTCCTCGATAGCAAAGATAAGATGAGCGTATGATAATTCTTTAACTTTGTTACGGCGAAATCCCCTCATAAGCTAGTTGTCTTACTTTACGCTTACTAGTTACCAGAGTGTAAAACGATGGAAAGCACGTCTAGGTACGACATAGGTTTACAAATGAGAGTAATCAATGGAGGATTGAAATCACTGAAAGAAAATAAACAGTAGTTAATTCCTAGCCTGATAGTTAAGAGGAATATGAACTGTGGTTTAATGTTAAGTTCTTCTTAATTGGTTTATTATCTTTTACTGAGTATTTTACCCATTTCCTTCTACAGATTTTTCCCACATCTTTTTTAGATGACCTCCTACTGGTTGCTCGTTTTGAGCCTCATTTATCCAGTTTTCTGGGAGAATGGACTGCAACTGTTCTAATAAACGTCCATGGTAGCCATCATTGGCGCCATTGGATTATCTTAAAAACTTAAATGGTAGAAGGAAGTAAACTAGGCCATCCCTACAGTTAAAAGAGAATGGTGGAAAAGGTAGGGAGATGGAAAAAGAACCTTTGATCAAATCTCTGTTTACTTAGGCATTAATGAAGTTGGGAGTGTAGGAGCGTAAAGTAAATACCGTTTCTTTCGACTAAAAAACTTTTTTTCTGGTTTCATAGTATTTTGCCATCATTTTTTGGTTACGACCCTCCAAAAGCTGAGTGGGTGGTGCTGAAGGTTTTCCAGACCGATTAAATGGTGGTGTTCTTGTAAAATAGCCAAATGCAACTGAACACACACGCCATCGATGAGGCTGTTTTTCTCTCTGACGAATCTTCTGAGTGGCCTGTATCCCCTTTATTTGCCTTTGCTATTCATCCTGGCATCCCATTATGACTCTGAATGTAGAAAATGTACTGTTTATATCGTCTCACAATCTCACCTAACTAGCTCTGGAAAGTTTCTTTTGTCTTTCCTTCCTTTAGCTTCTATCGGCCAAGGCTCATCAACATGAGATACTTATCATAACTTCATTTCAACACTTTTTTCAACTGCTATCGATTTTCCAAGATGATTCGCTGTCACTGAAATGGCATACACAGCTATGAAACTGATCATCTCTACGCTCTTGACATTGAGGCGACGACGTTCAGTGCCATTTACAGCGGCGACAGTAAAACAGCAGCAGTAAGAACAACAGAGCAAAAACAATAACAACAACATAGGGGACAGTAGGGAATTACTGCCGTCAACGTAATCGCGTAACTAACGCTTTGGTCGGTAATCTAGTCCCGGCGATACCTGCCGCTTTTCTGCACGCCTGGCCGTATCACTTTCATGAATCGCGCGGGCACTAGTAAAAAGTTCCATTCGTATTACTCTTCGGCACGGTGATCATGCTTGTTTCTTGTTATTATTCGCTCAGTTTCTGGCATGATCAGCTAATTTTAAAACGATGGAAAGATAAACCTTGTTCGGCGTTGATATCAATCCCTCAGGGGTACACCATACATTAGAATGTATTAGGTGTCATAGAGGTAACTGAAGGCTCGTTTAGTCTACACAATCACTCGTGGACGTTTGTCATGCACGAACAGGGTGATGCTATTCTCTCAGACAAGTTTAGTGCCTATTTGCGATCCCGTGGTGGTTAGCCCTAAGCGGGAGATCGAATCACGACTATGCGTGTTTTGCTGAGCATCTGCAATCAATGTATCTGCCTATCTTGTAGACGGGTCTCCTAGAAAGAGCTCTTCATGTTGTTGTGGTCCTTTCCTCCGTTCTCCACCCGAATATGGAAGTCGTCGTCTGAGATCATCGTATTAATGGGGTTCGCCTGTGTTGTCCTGCAGTGAGAAGCAAATTCTTCGATATCAATGGCTATGCTTCACTATAACGGATGTACAGCGTCACAGTTGTGGTGTCAGGCCATGTTGCTATTGCGATTTCTAGTTATGTGAATGTTTTTATTCGATCGCTTGGCAACTGGTTATCACCTATTATTGCGCTACGACCATCACAACCGCCTCATTGCTGATGGCTGAATAATAGTTGCCGAAACGTGGAGACGCCGAGCATTTACCACTGCCACATGAAAATCCGATGACGTTGTAGTTGTTTTTTGTCGGAGAATATCTGGAAATTCACAAACATAGCCCTAGAAAAACGTATGCTAGTTGGAGTTTACGGAGAGTTGCGTCACCGGGATAAATCGCACGCGCTAAATTTTCATATACTAGAAATTCAATATATGAAGTTCATTTAGTGATACTGAAGAAATTTTCAACCAAGAAAAAGCTCCAATGTCTACAATATGTCAGAGGAAAAACAACTGCTGCTTAACTGCTATACCGTTCTTTGTAAGTTACATGGTCGGATATGTGAAAGTTTTCATTTAAAGCTGTGGAAGAACAGAACTACCTTGGCAAAAAACACCAAATGACGATGGGAATCACTTATTCAATAGGTACTTGGATTGCCCATCCTCACTGGTTGTGCGAGCTCCAGCATAATCTCCATTTTTTAGGTGGTTTGTTGGTTCAGCCTTTGTACTTCCCTGGAATCCCGAGGTCAGCCTGGCCAAAGTATGCCCCAAGTCGTCATCACTCCATGCAGTCGTCGCCGTTGAAAATTAGAGAAAAATTTGCCATCATGTTACTAGTTCTGTTACCATGACGATGGTGATTCCTGGCATTATTTTACTCTTAACCGCAGTTTCGGATGTTAAGGTTGGACTCATTCTCAGATTGGGAGGCTCTGCTGGAGGGTGAACTCTCCTCCTCCTATGCAACGAAACCGGACACTCAGAAACTCCTCCTACCCACGAGGTGGTAAACCGTTAGCAGGGAATGAGAATTGTAGAAAAGTAATGGGAAAGTTTGCGCTGATGGAATTTTAGGCACCATTTTTATCATTAACTGCTGTTAGATTAGAAACTTAAACCATGAAAACTGCGAAAATCGTGTCAAATCGCCATAAAATCATCAAGCGCAGGATTGATAGGCGACTAGTGGCGATAGGAGAGGGAAGAGCCACCCCAAAACTGAACTTGATGGCAGAAACTCCGTTTCAAATACGATATTTGCAAAACGAGCCATGAAATCCGTTAACGTTAAGCCATAAGGAAAACTAGGAGGAAACACTCGAAGAAAAGAACGGCATCGTTAAGCTAAGCAAATCCACAAGGAAAACTTCGTGAAAATAGTGCTACGCGTAACTGAAGAACTAGGTCATGAGTGTAAGGGCATTGGAAAGCAAAAACATGAAACACAGTTTGTCTATAAAAGGATAAAATGGATAAAGCTCTTGGCGTTAATCAATCTCTAAGGGATGCGCCATGCATTCGATTTCATTGAGCATCCTTTGAAAATGATTGAATTCATATCTGGCCTTTCAAAGCATCGCGGTAGCCTGCTGATGTATCGAGCCAGTGCTGTTATCCTCTTAGACAAGTCTGGTACCAATTTGCCGAACCCGGAGAGATGGAAGGCTTGGTGGGCCATGGGCGCAGAATCGATTGCACGTGTGTGTTGCAGTGCGCCTCTGACCACTGCTCCACACGCGCTGTTGCAGTTTGTCTATCCTCAGGTAAAAGCTTTACAGTTGCGTTATACGCTCCTGACAACCGATTATTCTTTTATTACACGACCCAATATCAAGTGTATCACACTGTGCGAATCGCAGCGAATTCCTTGAATTCGAATCGTTTTCTCGCATCTGCAGTCCACGAAGATCTTCGAACATTTTTGGGCAGGGCTTCCGCTGCTGGATTTTTTCGTTTTCGTTACCAATGTCGTTGAATACTGGTTGAGTCGATGCTCCCTGGAATCCCGAGACAGCCGTGTTGTCACGGCGTTCCTGCATGGATTGGAGAGAGTCCGTTTCTACCAGGGTATTACCAATTTCGGTATCATAGGAGATGAAAGGTTTTATTGGTCGGAAGCGGCGTCGAACCACCGTGTGGTTAGAGTGAGCCATTTGCGTAACGAACAGGACACTAGCACTCTCTACCCGCTCCCTAATTAACATTTATCAATGAGTGAGTGACTAAAAAACTCACATGTCGTCTGTGTAAAACCAAGGTGTTATAGTCGACCACCATCTTCTCGGGCAGTTACCAGCAAACGCTCCATTCTTTCCAGTCACCAGAGTTGCCAAATGAACTTCGATTGCTGAGAAAACACAAAGAGTATCGCGCTGCTGGAAATGATAACCTTTTTCAGAACTGTTCCTGGCGAGAGGAAAAGCCAAAGGAGGGGGAATGTGTAGGGGGTCATCACCTGCCACTGGCGCAGGTTTACTCTCGGCCGAACATCTGAATGAAAATGTCGGACTCTCTCTCTCAACTATGGCGTTTCAGTGGAAACTGGGAGATCAAATCCTGCTACACATCGCGGTTCCACAACCAGGCACACAAGCGATCCACATTGAAGTGAAGGGCTATTAAGTGGTGGAGGTTACAGTGTTATAATCAGAACGTATCTTTAAAAACTATTGAAATCGATTAAATTGTGTCATTCCTCCTAGTGCGAGTTCAGAAAACATCTGTTTTAATGTAGAACCATCAAAATATGAGTCATTTTCGACCTTATTGAAGAGTTTGCTTTTTACATCCTTTTTTCTCGATTCTATTAGGATGGTTACAGTGAAAACAATTAGTAATTCGTATGAAGTGCTGAGATATTTGCAAAACTCCGGACCACAGGTGTATGCAGTGGGGAACGAACACGCGCTGTTGTCCTTACCGGGGAGCAGCGCACTTCACCACTACACCATCCGGACCCGTGTTCGTTCCCCACTGCATACACCTGTGGTCCGGAGTTTTGCAAATATCTCAGCACTTCATACGAGTTATATTTCACAACATACCCTGCCATTAAGAAGAAAAAGGCAGTAAATAAAAGAGTTAAGACAATTAGTAATGTCATACATTTCCTTTCTAAGCAAATAGAAGAAACACATTGACGTCCGATCGAAGCCGATTAGTAGCCACTGTTATCGCCTCCAAATTCATGGACGAGTTTTCATGTTTTTACTCACATCCGATCAACAGTGACTATATCAGTAATTGATCAATAATTGCTTCATGAAATGATTCTCAAGAACCAATCAGACAACTGTAACTTCAAGAATACCTTTTTGAGAATCAATGACTAGGATGGTACTAAACATTTGTCTCATTCTTTCTCATGGACGAGTTTACTCGGCAAGAATTCTCTCCTAACATTTGGATAAGTGACCAACCACGTTACCATTTTCATCGCATAATAGCTGATTTCATATAAACAGAGAAAATCGGTAAACTTTTTTTCTCTTCGCAATATCGAAAGTGTATCGTTCAGCTTCAAAATATTCATTGCACTTGTTTCGAAGCATGAATGGCTGACGGCGTCTAATAATTACCACTTCAGAGCTCATGAACGAGTTTTTCGACGAATAATCGCTTGCGGACGGCCTAGGTGAGCCTTAACGAAAGATTTCTTGCGTTGGCTGGCGCAACCACAGCGACGAGCCTCTTCTGTCAGTCGATCCGGTGTTGTCGGTTGTCTTCTCTGGGCATAAATATTACGTAACCTTGGTTTCGGATTTGAGTGTCGCTCACGTTCGTAACCGGACCGACCGGCTTAATCGTCGCATGGTGTCGCGCGGGCGACACGACAGTTTCATTGTAAAACGTCGGCAGTGGCGAATTCTTTCATTGGGTGGAGCCCTTGGTGATCATACAATCACTTATCAGTCGACGAAAAACCAGTTAACGGTGATGTGTTTTCCTGTTACGACCGAGAAAAACAGCGATAGGAGTCGCTTTCCATAACGTCCGTCACATTAGGCATCGTATGGCATCGTACGACTTCACATTTTGTAAAGATGTCATGCTGCTTGCGTTGGCAAGTGATGATGCTATCAGTGAAATCACGTTGTTTGCCATGTTTTAGAAAATATAGGACTTAAGATCTTCTTTAAGGGGATTATGGATAAAAACGTTCGTTCATTAATTTATTTATTCCCTTAAGTGCCTTTTGATCTTCATCAAAATTGAGGACCGAAGACAAGTCCAGTGGGAAGCTCAACTATGAACCGGGAATTCCTGGCTGCTCACTGGTAGCTATTTCCACGCAAAAAGCCATTGAAAGACCCATAGTGACTATTGGCGGAAATAACGATGTAGTAACTCAATGTCCTTTAAGCTTCCTAATGTCAACTGGCTCCTTCGAGAAAAAGTATTCCTGCAGAAAAGTTTAGGCTTGTGTGACGCAGTGATTGGCGGCACCCTGCAACACACACATGGGATCAATTTCCATGCCCATGGCTCACCAAGCCTTCCATTCCTCTGGGGTCCGCAAATTGGTACCAGACTTGTCTGGGGGGATAACAGCACTGGCTCGATACATCGGTAGGACACCGTGAGTTATTGCATTGTAAAAACCAGATATGCATTTAATTATCTCCAAACGATGCTTAATGAAGTAGAATGCATGGTGCATCCCTCAGCGATTGATCAACGCCGGGAGCTTTACCCTTTTTATCCTTTTATAGGAACGTTTCCAAGTAATTGAAAAGATAACTCTGTATTGAGTTTCATAAACTTCTGCGTAAAAGCTGCAAAGAAAAAGTTAGTAGTACTAAAAAGGGTTCGGAAAAGTAGCCCTATTAACGGATATCTTCGAATTAGGTAATAAACTCCTGTCAATTCCTTAAACGGAAGAGAAAAACAGCAGCAAAAACACCAGTCAATTTGACACTGTATCCCACATATCTGCGTGAACGAGTTCTTAAGAGACAAGGTCAAGGTGATCGTTTTCAGATACTTCTCTTCATCTAATGATGAATCAAAATCGAGATGCGAAGATGAATGTGAAGAGGTGAGTATTCAGTAAATTCTTACTAAACTGACATGATCTATTTTGCCCTTGATTTTCTAACTAGTGGTGTTTTTTTCTTTGTTTCGGAATTTTTGCTTTACAAGGATACCTCTCTCTCCCAGCGCTTTCAGTTGCGTCAGGACCGCATCATTGATTTTAAATCGTTTAGGGAATAACTTAATACTACTAAATTAGTATTATTATGGCTTTCAAGCTACTTCGTCACCGTAATCAAATTACTGGCGGTGTTTTGGCGTCCTTTCGTTTCCGTTTGAAAATTCTTCGCCATCTCAACAACCCATAGCCTTATCAGTTCTGTGCTAAGTGGAATTCTATGGGTGGAGAAGTCTTCATTCAAGAATTTGACGCTATTGTTGCTCGTTTCCGGTATATTTCTCATTTTTCACCTATGGAAAGTGCGTTGGCGATATTTTCGGAAACCTTCCCAAGGATCAGCAACCTGCGTGCAATCTTCGATGTGGCGTAAGTGTCTTCAGATCTTTTACAAATTCACAAGACTTCAACTATCCTTAGAAATGAAATAGAAACCGGAATAACCCTAAAACAATCTTCAAAAATGAATAAAAAGCGGAATGACTCAACTGTTACATACGTCTTCATCTTTAACACAAGGAATTCACCGAACATTTGTCCGGAATGTCGAGGCATTTCTTGTCCAATGTTCGAAAACTAGTTGAGAACGAAATCTTCCTTCTCATCTGCCTTTTTTCTATAGTTTTAGAGCTCATCAGAATTCCTCTATATGTCCATAATAATTTTAGTGTTAAGTTAAAAGGCTTTAGTAAAGGAGTTTAAACCAATGTCCTGATTGTAGGTACGACCTCGTCTCTGGGCTAGCATTGGTTTGTTCTGTGTGTTCGCCGCCGCTTGTGCTACATTGCTGTTCACGATTCCGATGTGTATTGCCACTTGTGCATCGTGCCTTCATGCCAAGAAGGTACAAGTTTTCTTACGAAATTCTCAGTCATATTCCTACTAATATTACTATAAATAAGAGTATAAGTAAGTAGAGTATGACTAAAGCACAACTAACAGTGCTGTTTTAAAAAAAGTATGTAGAGAAAGGAATCAGTCACTACACGGAGAATCCATGCCAAAAAATTTACACTACCGTAATATGGATGAAAAGTATATCCCAAGTGGTCCTGCACTGGCGAGATTCAGTGCACGATTTCTGGAAAAATCTTCCGTTTAAGACGTAAACACTCAAAATTTATAGCATACAACTGATATAATCCTAACCCTTACCTAGTCGTTAAAAATATTCATGCCTATAAGAATTACGGTAGCGATTACTGTATATATTTTACTGTTTGTATGCAAAATGAACGTATTTGGGAGACCATGGTTAGCGTAACAGAATAATGTAAAATTTGTAGCATAAAAGAGACTTGACAGAATAATGTAAGGAGTAGTCAATGATATTATCAAGTGAAAAGGTAAGTCATATAGGACTTTAGGTAAACTTCTTTTGACATTCTGACTAGAATATTTTACGTCAGTCTAAGAAACGCTTCAATAAGTCTTCGAAAGCTCAGGAAATTTCAAGCGTATCATAAGACGAAGACATAAGTTTTTTCGATACTTGAACCATCCACGCCCATCTCATACGGTTAAGAAATTGCTTTGTCACCACCAGCATTTCACAGCGTTCTTTTTCCTGTCTTTATTCGATCTTTTCGTCGTCTAGCAATGCCATTTTGAGTGCAATGTCGATGGTATCGACATGGTGATGAGCGAATGGGCGTGATAGTAGTGGTGATGGCTGCGTAGAATTCCGAATATTCACAACCGGATGGAACGACCTTTTTAACGTAGTGATAGCTCATTTCTAAGAAATCGTTAACTGAGAGATGCAAAGCGGCACTCCCATTCATCCACACCCTAGTTAAGACGGAGGAATGTAATTTATTGTCGGCCGAATAGATTGCATGTTGTTATAGTAGAGCTGGTAAGTAGGTCCTTGAGAACTCTAGCGCAGATTTCGCGTTCAACATCGGTCAACGTTTTTGGGACTGGCGGAGATAACCCTGGCGATTGTCGGCGGCTATGTAGATAGACATCTCTTGTATACAGCGCAGAAATTCAGTCCTGCATCCGATCATCTAACCAACATTACTAGTTAAACACTGACATTGAAAAATCCGTTGATATTTGAAGAGATAGATACTGAGGGACTTTTTGGCACAGCCACCAAATAATAACATTGACAGCGCTTACATAAATCGTCCATTGTCGGGTTAGGATAATGAAAGTACTTGATCAGCAACTGAAGGAGTTTCGTGTTACAACTCCCTTACCTATTTAAGTGAACAGGTCGGTGCAAATTTAGAAAGCAAATATTGCTAGTACTAATAAAAACAGACTTCTGAAGAAAGAAGCGGGTGGGATCTATGCCCCAGTAATCAATTTTTGGCTAAAGGGTATTAAAAGTCGTCAGAGTGGTGATTCATATCACAGACTATTGTAGCGGATAGTTGAAGAGTAAAAGAGGCTCTGTTTCGGAATAGTAGTTGACATGTCAGATCGCTTCAAATGCCTTTTCCGAGAGAACTCCAAATTGTCAAGTGAACTGACCAAATTAAGAGGATTTTTTAAATCATATCTGAAAAAATGGGCGCAGTGGTCGGGGACGCTCTGCAACACAGACGTGGAATCAATCCCCGCTCCCATGGCTCATCGAGCCTTCCATCCCTCCGTGGTCGGTAAATTGGTAGCAGACTTGTCTGGAAGGACAGCAACACTGGGGCGACACATTGGTAGGCCACCGTGAGTCATTGTAAAAGCCAGATATGCACTCAATCGTCTTCATCTCCAACGATGCTTAATGAAGTCGGATGCATGACGCATCCTTTTTCATCTGAAAAAGTGAAGATAGTCGCAGTTAAGAGGAAAACTATTGCGCACATAACCGAATTTAACGTGGCAATGATTTGCGAGCCCTGAAAACAACTTGGTAGCACTTCGATACGGTCACATCCAAAACTGCATTATTGCGCTTGATAGCGAAAAATTTAGGGGTTCATGGATTTTGTATAATTTTAAATCCCACTTCTTCGAGCAAAGAACACTTAAGATATCAAGAAATTCGGAGGTCACAAAGAAAAGATTGATTTCGCTTCCAAGAAATTGAAGTTTCTCAGGTCTGCGAAAATTTACGAATTGTTGATGATTCCCTAGGTAACAACGTAATTTAACCAGAACATGGATTGGATAAACCAGTATTAAACCAGGGAACTCAAAAAAACTGTTTGAATAGAAAAGTCTGAGGAAAGTTGGTAGGGAAATTTTCCAAATCATCGTAGACGTTCTCAAGCTGTAAATTTCAGTTTAGTCACTGGCTACTTCAACAAATTTCTGTCTTTGACGGACTTCAGTGAGAAGGAAACATTTGATAGTAGCCGGCAGCTGCCTGTTCGGTGGTATCTGTTCTACACATTCTTCTTATTGATCTGGATGAACGACGTTCTTGGGGAATGAGGTCAGAATCGAATGTTTCTGATTTCTATCCCCATATCAGCACGTATCATTTACTTGGTTCGCCATCACCGTCATCGCCACCACCACCGCCGCCACCGCCGGTCAATCTTTGTCTCATGGTGGCGGTGACGACAGACACAACAACAGTTGATGATCATCGAGAGGACACCTATATTTGGGTCACACTCTACCACAAAAATATCCGCATACGATAGCGAGCCGAGCGACACCACTGCACCCCACCCTACTATCACATAAGATTTCGGGGATCTTGATCGAAATTCTTCCCGAACACTAACGAACGGTTCGTTCGCATTACTATTGGGACGCAGAAACTGTTATGGTCCCTTTCATAAGCTTTCTCACCATCATTATTATTGCAGAACCATAAAAACCAACGGCAAGCGACAATGTCTGTCTATTTGAGGAGAAATATATGTAATCATAAACTAAGCATAAACATAGCCTTAATCACTGACAAAATCAGACGGACGTGTGAATAGGGACATCCCGAATACTGTACCTACTAGAATCTCCACTGGTTATCTGCAGACCAGTAGAAGGATATTAATGGTTCTTTAATTTTAGCACTTGAAAATAAACCCTCGATTTTTACTACATCGATTCGAACTAAAATATTATAAGACATTGTGTGAACATTCCCAAATAGTTTCGGCTGTGTAATGCAAATTCCAGAACGTCTCCATGGTGGAATGATTCTATCATTCAAAAACAACTGAGAACTTGAATACTTGACGGTGTCATATTTATTTTTAAGCTTTAAATATTCCGATTTGGCCAGTTTTCTTTTTCAATTTACCGCCATCATTTCAACCGTCAAAAATCGATGTTCTGGAAAACTCTACCACTACATAGCTTAGAAAACCGAGAAGTAAAAAGCGAACCACTGGGGTATATCGCTCTTACATATTCATCCATAACTGAGTATAGGATGGGTAAACTCGTCCAACTGCCGAGCACATGCAGAAATTTCTGGAGTGGCTTCTCAATGTGCTTTACATACTTCCTGTTATTGAAAGATCCATATTAGCAGCTATAAAGTGATAATCAGCTACATTGCGCAGCTTGTCAGCGACGATGGTCTTTCGTCAAATTAACCAGTTCTTAGCGAAACCGCCTAACGGAATTCATCGTCATGGTTATGATAACAAGTCATGATGAGGTATAACGCTTTCCAAGTAGTGTTGTTATCCAATTGCGATGACATAGAAGGTTTTCTAAATAGCCGTGATTAAGCATGTATTCCTGATACCAGTTCTGCGACCAGCTACAAGTATTGCCATTCCGTCGAACCTGTACAAGAAGTGAAACTTTACGCGGCAGGGTAGATACCAGTTAGTGTGACGAAGAAGAAGCAAAACCGGTTCTTATCAATAGCCAGATGATCGGAAAGACCCATGATGCTCATAATTTCAGAACCAGTGAACTGTTCACACTTAGCCAATTTCAAACCTATCTCATTGAACGGTTATTGCTCATAGTATTATACTCCATTCTAACTAACTTAGGATATTCACGAATCGGGTGAGACGTTTAACGCTTCATCCACGAAAATCTAAGATTCAAATCTGAAATGAAAATAATGCTATTCAACGTTATGAACAAATATAAAGGTGCCGACGGGACTGCAGAGCTAAATAGTACACCCTTAAAACGCTGCATGTCGTTCGGAGACTTTGAAGAAACAAAAACCTTTACCACGACTTCGACGTGTGAATAATCTGCAGTACGCTAAACATAAAAGAGACTTTAACGGACCATCCAAAGTTGAAAAGATCACGAATATTTGCAAGTTTTGTGTGATAACCATATAATCCCTGTCGCTTTTGTAAAATGCCTCTATTACTACTCTCCTTAGTGGAAATACTCTACACTACTGCGAAAAATCCTCTTAAACGTCATAACGGTAGTGGTGGATATTTTCTATCGATCCACTGAATGCTCTAAGTGGGATATCGTATTTCGTCATAGTATTTTTGATCCTATCCTGGAAAGCGTAGCCCGAATTCTGCACTCAGTTTCCTCACTTGTGACCGTCTTACTACTAAGTTAGCGATCATGGAAAGTGTTGTATTCCTTTGAAAATTGTCATTAGAGCAAGCTAATGGGAACAAAAAGGAAAGATAAACGTTATCACTTTACTTACAGGCTAACAAGAACGCGAAGCGAGTGATGTTAGAGCAACAAGCACAACCAAGCAAGGATCAGCAAGTCGCCACAATGGGCTACAATCCCTACGCGTACTGGCCGTACTATGGCCGAGCTTAGGATGAGTTGTAGAATTTGATTGACATTCTTCAGGCACCTCTCGTCACACTAAGGGCAGCTCTAGCGATTGCTGTCGTTGAGTGTCGTTCTCGAATGCTTCCGAACTAATCGCTCTTACAAGTCTCCATTTCTTGTACTTCGGGTACGCTAGCATTTGCTCCTCGACGCTTGCCACAATCATTTGCGATTTCTGTTCTACTCTTTCTTTTTGTGTTCGATTGCTTTTTCTTCTGTACGATAATTTTCCTCTAGCTGTGACTCCAATTCAAGCGTATTTTGTTGTATTTTAACAATCTCTGACTATTACTCATTATTGCATTGACATTCACTGCCAAATCTCAGGCCAGATATTCTAGATCGCGACCTAATAAAAATCTCAGTATATTACATAATTAAAGGTAAAGTGCGAAGGGCAGTTTTCGCAGGACAAGACATTCTGTTCATCGGCTTGGGTCAAATCTATCCTTTCTGCACAAACCAATTCACGTGTGAATTAAAAATGTGGAACCATTCGAAATATTCTTTCCGATATAGCGCCAAGTCACAGGCGCTAAATGATAATAGAACACCTTTAGAATAATTTCTTGTTTTTACTATGGATAGATGAAATTGTTGTAATGGCAAAGTGCGTATTTGCTGGTGTTCAATGGGAAACTGGACTTTGCAGTAACAGTACAACACGACAAAGTCGACACACACCCACATTAAAACAGTACAATACGAAGGCGACTTTGTTTGGCAGACACAAATAGAACAGAACAGAGCAGAACAACACATCCCTCACTCACTGCGTACATGGGAATAATGACTGCTACTTCGCCTCCACAGGTGGACAGTGGTAATGTCACATGGCATGGTAACTGTTTACTGAATTGCCAGACTTTTACAAAACGTTTTAGATCTTTGAAGACACCATCATAACAAATATTCGTATTTGAAGTGAGTGATTTCTGCGACATTTTGCTGAAAATTCAACCATCATATTCTGAACCACAAGGGAGAATTGTTCAAAATCATTCGAATGGACTAAAGTCTCACAGATTCCTATCCTATGCACCTACGAATGGTCCTCCACCCACTTACACCTTTGCATAAAAGAAGTCATGATGAACGACGACTAAACTTCTTCACGAAAAATGGTATGGTGTTCTTCGAGTCTCTCAAGCTAAATGAAGTTATTGAGCTACTTCTGCATGCGATGAGAACAAATGGAGACTTTGGTGGGGCAAAATGAGCCATTCGACAATGAACGAGGAAATGGGTGACGTAGATTAAACCAAACAGGAGGGAAGCTTCAATACCGGTTGCTGGAGATGAATAGTTCTTATAAATTCCTCTCTCTAAATTAGGAAAGGCATAATCTATCTCGTTCCTGAATTCAAACTTTGAATCACTGAACAACTATCCAAAAGTGTTTTTGGAACGGACACATAGAGCACAAACACAGTGAATAAACATCTTAACAGAGTACAAACAGAAACAAAAATTTGCAATCAATACGCTCGCATTCTCACAGCGTTTACAGTTCTCGTCCTTACGTCCACTGCCGTTCTCAACACGTTCGTTTTTATGACCGTCACTAACCGTATTATTAGAAATCAACCACAGTGATGTCGAGATATTTGCAAAACTCCGGATGGCAGGTCTCTGCGGTGTCCCGGTATCAATCCTGCTGACAAGTGATTGCTGATGGTACAAAAACTAGCTAAAAAAAAGGTGAAACAAATGATGCGCATAGTGGGGTGGTAAACGCGTTAAACCCGGGAATGGTAATAGTGTGTTCGATCCCCACTAGACACTTGCCATTCGGAGTTTGACAAATGTCTCAACATCATTGTGGTTGATTTCGCATAATACTCTACCTTGAAAATTGTAGCTGGCAGTGAATAATGAAAAGTACTGTTAGAATTTCTGTGTGGGCAGTACGTACAGTGCTTCCTGCAAAGCTGTACCACTTTTGAACTTGAACCAGTGCTGTGGGGTGCAGCCGAAAAATACAATCGGGCAGGGGAATTTTAAAATTTAAGAATGCTGTGAACAGAAATTTCTTCGGAGAAAGGAATCTTGAACAATTCAATTCCAACCAGAGTGCTAACAACAAATACTAGCAATGATGTGTTTAAGTGGGGGATACAGAACACAACGCTGCATGGGGAAGAAATTACCCACTTTACCATTAACATTTCCGTCTTGAAAACTCAACAAACAGCCGAAAAGCGAACAGTCCACGTTCGCATTCGGTCTCCGCTGCATTTAAAACTGTTTGTGCGCGGCGATACTTCTCCAGCGCCAACCGATCAGCTGCTGACAAGTACATCTCTTCAACTTCTGCCATCTGAATCCGAATAACATCGTCACTATTAAGGTATTTCACATAATTATAAGATCATCCACTAAAATTCAAAAAAGAAAAGTTGGGTAGGGCATTGGTAGCGATGTCATCCTTTATGACTAACGCGCTGGTTCAACCGCAAATACAGCCCATTAGGTCTTCCAACCCTCCGGACATGGGAGAATTGTTACCAGGCCTGCCTGGACACACCTCACACTCCCCAGTTCATGTGGGAACGCCTATTCTAGGATTCCAGAGAGAAGCGAATCGATCAGTATTCAACGAAGTTCATAAAGAAGACGAAAACCTTCTAGCATCACCCAACCTATATGCAGAAGCTCGGGAACCTTCCTCCGTAATGGATGCGGTGAAGCGAATCGAATGGAACACGTTATGGCATGTATACAATAAGTGATGGCTGGTCAAAAACAGAAATGAAGAAAAGAACATTGGAACGTAAAGAAAATAACCAGACCTGTTGCTTCTTCGTCTCCTCATCAAGAGCTTCATCAGCGTCAATAGTTTCCATGATTGCTTCCATTTTAATGTGACGTTCTATTAGTTGTCGATGTTCTTTTGTTTCGAATGCACGTCGTAGAACGATATTTCGCAACATCTAAAAGGCGTCACAGTTAAATTATTGAGAACGGTTCCACCCATAACCATCGAAAATCACAATAACCTACCTTACACGTATACTCTATAAGACTTCGCACCGTTTGTGGTAAGTCAACATGATACAGTACAAATGTCCTTGAAGGAGCGAAGTCATTCGTACGACCAATTGGCTAAAGATTTTGAACATATCTTGTGTTAAATAACATACAAATAAGTTGCCTACGGAAATCCCTACAAAGCGTCAAAAAAAAATAAAATCTTCCCAAATAAGTAAGTTAACATGTTCTAACTTTTACTTAATGCCTGTGCTTTTTCATGGCAGAGTACAATGTGAAATACAACTGCAAAGATGCTGAATCATTATCAAAACTCGGAACCTCAGTAGTGCTTAGAACCCGCGATTACCTTTACCGGGGACTCACGTGCTATCCGCCACACTAAACCTGACCCTTGTTTTGCTTTCCTCTCAGTCGTATCTTTACTCTACTGGTGCTACCAGCAAATATCCGTCAACGGGAATAACCTCGGAAGTAAACACACGAGTCCTCGTTAAGAGTAATCGTGGGTTGAACGCCCATCTGAGGTCCGGAATTTAGTTTTTATCTTTAATTTGACATCCTTTAATATAACTGTGACTTGGATTGGGAGTAGGAACAATACGGAAAATCGGCTCGGATCAGCCCAGCTGTAAAGAGGGTTGAGGCGACAAAACCTTAGTCAAATAGTTTCTCTTTTTCATCAACTCAACTTTTCAATGAAAAATAACATTTTGATTAGTCATGCCGAGGTCAAAGGAAGGTCGGTTTCTGAAACACAATCGTGAGAATATGCATCGACTTCAATGCACATGTTGCCAAAAATAATTTACTTGACCAATTTCAAACACTGGTAGTTCAGCCCATTGTGAACTTTGTTAACACGATATGTAGCCGGTTTCCCGAATGTTGCTAATAATTCCTCGACTACTAGAATAATCGAGAGCCCAAACATTTAACAGGCCTGTACAAGGGGCCTTGAACCACAGCTATAAAGGTGCAAACAATTTTTTCTAAAGTGTCGTTCTAATTCTGTTTAAAATTCAACTTTTTCAAAAACAAAACTGAATCTCCGACCGCAACACCCTCAAATATCAATGATAAATTAAAACAGACTTTATCGAGTCCTGTTCCTTGAAATCGCTACCGTTCACACGCTTCGGTATTCCAAATCTTCGAAAAAAAAAATCAAGTCGAAAAAAAGCTGTCGTGAAGCCAAAAAAACAGAGTTTGACGCTCTCGAATAAAAACGGGTGCATTTCGCTGACAAAGAACTATAGATACCTAGATTCTGGTGGTTTTAATGTTAATTAATAAAGTTTACCATGAGCTTAACGATGTGGGTGGCGCAGTGGTTGGAGGAACCATGCAATACACATAAGATCGTTCCTTGTGCCTTAAGACCATCAAGACTTCCACCGGCTCGATACATGGATAGGCCATCACGGGTCATTGTAAAGACCAGGTATGCATCCAATCACCTCCAAACGATGCTTAACGAAGTCGAATGCATAGAGCATCCCTTAAGGACTGATTAACGCCGAGTAAAACCCAGTGGTGCAATTATTTTTGGGCACATACGTGCTGAAATGGCTGTATACCGCCACAAATGTGTTAAACGGAAACTGTCATACTTCAGAGATGATTCTGGAAAAATTTGAGCGCTCCTAATACCTCCGATGAGATTCTGAGCTTCTACAGCCAACACTGGTTTTTTCGTTCTCTTTTTTGCCTTTTATCGTCGAGGTTCATCCATCGAGAAATGAGTTGGAAAAGTAACTCAATGGTACATAAGGCTACCTCCAAATTTGTAGCTAGTACCAGTGACTGCAGGAAATGCGTTAGAGAGAAAATTGTTTTTGGAACAACAGTTCGTTAATATTCCTTTAGTTTTAAGAAAAAATTTAAGGCACTCCTAGTTTTCAGGAAAGTACCACCAGCAATCAAAATAAACCACTGCCATCATTACTGCCATGAAAGAGTCTTTAAGAAATGCTCGAAAAGGTATAATATTTTCTCAAAGAATGTTATAAGCGGTGAAACTAAAAGCTATAAACCTAGAAAAATATTAAACGGATATACCTTCGTATAAACGTAGCCCTCCTCCAGCATAGCATACAATAGCTCACGTGTCTCCTTTCCACTTATCATTGTTAGCTTTTCAATTTGGTCCTCTTCCAAATGACCTTTCTGTTGGAGAAGACGAAAGATTCTGAATACTTTGGAGATTCATGCGCTGTAGGACTATTACAAATTAATGCACAATGAATCAGGAAAGGCCATATTAGCTCACCGAACTGCTCTATACTCTAACTGCTCACGAATAAGAGATTCAATATGAAATTGACAGATCTGTTCAATAGCCGCTTCGAAATCTGTAACAATTTCATCTAACACGCCCAATGAGCTACCCATAAAGTACTGTACACCTTACGGAAAAGGAGGAAAAAATATAACCTATCGAACAACTGACCTATGATGTATAACCCGCCGCCACTTTCCCCAGATTTTCGAACCACTCCATGAGACTCTTCTGCCAGAATCTTCAGCGTTTTCTCCAAATCTGACTTTTCTATTCCAAGTTCATTTTCCTTGACAGCTCGCATCATGTCAAACAACTAAATTTTCTATTCAAAGGTACAATAAAGCAGTAGTTATTGGACTTGGCCAATGAGAGTAACTGATTGAGCGACACATGAAGTTAGCTGAAGAATTCGTACAAAAAATTTTTGCCAACTAAAAATGCAAGAGAAGCAAAATTCTCCTATATTGTGGTAAATTAGTCGAAAAAAATACTAAAAAAAATTGCGGGTTGACCTAAGCACGACGATGAGTCTTGTCATCAAGAATTTATTCTCCTCACAGCCCTAACGCGTGCCAGCAAAGAGCTTGGTTTTTACCTAACTTACATTTTGATAGTTTTAATATTTAATCCTATAACATTCAATCCATAATGAGTTTTAGCTAGTTGAAGTAATACTCTCAAATGGAAAAACCCGCACTTATTCCTTGTTCACTGAGTTCAAAAACTTAAAAAAATGTATCGCAGGGGAAGCAACTCAATGTGTCAACACGGTATTGTCATGGAAAGACTTCCGAATGCACGATGCGTAGATGGCCCGAAAATTTCAAACCCAAGACATGAGTCTTCACGAAGAACCGTGACAGTGTACATAAACAGTTGATGATAACCATCCTAAGACTGTAGGATGCGGTTAGCAGAGCCGTAGTGATGGCGATCATCACAACCATGGTGCTGGTCCGATCTCGCTCCAAGTCCACCAAGCCTCTCAACCCCCTGGAGCCGTGAAATTGGTACCAGACCTTGCCGAGAAAAAATCAGCCTCTGCAATCCAATTGGGAACGCTCCAGCCAGGTTATCTCAAGGCTCCAGGAACAATTTCCCGACCAGCCTTCTACGACATTCAAGATGAAAAGAAAATCGTCAAGCAGTAGCCGAAGCCACACGTAAAAGTTGGAAGACCTTGGTAGATGGTGGATACGAGAAAACGAATTAAGTGTGAGAAATGCTAGGATCCGCAGAGTAGATGTGAAGAAGGGTCGTATAAAATAATAATAAATAAAAATCTGAAGGCTGTCACCGAAAATGGTGCGGAAGAGATCATGCTAGTCATTCAACAAACCGTTTTCACCTGAAAGATATGGGGAGGGTGGAAAAACTCAATAGATGGATGCCGAAGGAATCGAATTAAGAGCAAGGAGGTCGTCGTTACAAAGTCTGCTCTGTTCTTAATTTGCGAAATAAAAAGAGTTATTTCCTCATAACGTTAAAATGTGCGATGAGAATTGAATTCTAATTTCAGAATACAATACACAGCACAGTTTCTCGACCGATATTAAGCTCCTGATAATTTCCCAAGGTTGAATTTGATTCAAACGAAAGTTATGATGATTGTGCAGCCGTCTGCAACAGGACCAGTTATCTGAGTTCTGGGAAAATGATCATAACGAAGAAGCTCCCTTACCAATGAAATGTATCAAAAATTACAGCGCAAAAAACCAGAACTGGGAAACAAAAAAGCCTCCTCATGCTTAGTAACGATCAACCACAAACTGACCGAACTAGGCTAGGAAATTCTACCTCATAAAGCACACTCAATCGACCTCGCCCCAACCAAATGCCACTTTTTCAAGCACCTCAAAACTAATTCCAATGAAAAACCTTCAAGAACTAAGCAGCTGTTTAATCTGCTCTTTCTCTTTCCAAAACTTCAGAGTTCTCTAATACTGGAATAGATAAATACGTGTTGTGTAAATGAAAATCTATGCATTCCACCCACTTCTCTACTTAGTAAAGCTGTGTCCGAGTATGGCTAAAGCATTCCAAAATTGCAGATTCATAACCTGCCATTCTTTCTACATCAACACAATTGTCAGAAAATCAAAAAATTAATAGCTCCTGTTTTCATATTCGTTACAAGATATTCGGTGGTTAATGCAAAAACTATATTAAAAAGGCTGGCGCGCAGCACACTGGACAGAGGTGTCAATAATAACATTACCAGGTTAGCTCGATTACACATTTTCTAGGTATATCAAACACTTCACCCCTACGAGGACGGATAACAACTGAACAAATTGTTCATGAAGGACAAATTTCCTCTCAGTCAAATCAGCCTAGGAAGTCTTTGAGAGATACCATGTTCCAATTTGTTTACAAAATAATAGGAGTGTGGTGACGAGAGCTTTAAGTTATTACTTAAAGTCCACCTTACTGCACTAATTGTTCGACTATAAAAAACAACTTGACATCTGTTCTTTTCTGAGTTGTTGCTCTCTGGAAGCGATGTGTTTTTGGACGTCCAAGTAAGTAAATGACTATCCTCTCCCCACTTCTTTATGCTTTCCATGTAATCGCTTTTGAGAGCATTCTCCTGTAAAAGTGCTACGCAGCACTTGTCCAGCTTCTCATACTCCATCGATTTACTACCCTTTCCCCATTCCATGTAATCGCCTTTTGGGGAAAATTTTCTCCTTTCAACGTTCTGTCCATCACTTATCAACCGTGTAAGTAAATAATTATGTTCCATGATGAAATTTTTCTAACATCACGCCCTAGTGGAAACATATGTTTACCGTAAAGATCATTAAAGTGCTGATTTCGTTACATATCATCCATCCTTAGTAACACCATCTCTTAGAAAACATGAAGCGTCAAAGTACGAATTGAATCACAATCATGAAACAAGTTCGCGCAATTTACCGAAATTGGTGCCGAATTAATTGTTGCGACTGGTGAAGTTCGGATTTCGTTGGCCTTCAACAGAGATCGAACAGTTTGCGTCACCAAATGAGAAGCCTTATCTGGTGATGGACTCTGTAATATGATAACTTAGAACTGATCGCTAAAGTTTAACCCATAACGGAAGCCCGCCGTTTAGCGTGGCTCTCCGAAAAGGAATTCGAACAATTTCTCATCCGCAGCGGATTCTCTGACTTTTTGGTAATAAAAAGCAATTTTTCAATAACTAAAGTGGTTCAAGCGTTCCGAACACAACAGAATTGGAGGAAAAACTTTGCTCTAGCTTACTGAGCTATAAATGCCAATTATATATATCCCACTCTTTACTGTGTATTACTATGCTCCATTATGCAAAAATATTACTGTCTTCAGTTGGAAACTCTGTGTTGCATCTTCTTCAGTCTTTTAAAATGAGATACAGCTCTGAGAGTTGATCAATCTCTGAGGGATGCACCATTTATTCGACTTCATAAAGCATCGTTGGAGGTGACTAAATGCATATTTAGCTTTTACAATGACTCGCGGTGGCCTTCCGACGTATCGAATCTGTGCTGCTATCCTCGCAGATAATTCTGGTGCCGCTTTGCCGATTCCGGAAGGATGGAAGGTTTGCTGAGTCTGGAGTGCCGGAATTGATCCCATTTGTATTGCAAGGTGCCTCCGACCACTGTGCTACACGCTCTCCTTACAATAACCACATCGATTAAAATGAAGTACCAATAAATTGTTGAACAAAACACCGTGCACTGAACTTTTCTAAAAAACAGATCTCTTGCAAAACGTGGAATTAACCGTGCAGAGTGGTTTTCCGGTTCTCATCCCCACTATTTTGGTCTGCTTTCGATTAGCCGTCGAATGAATATATTTAGTACGGTAAAAACTACTACAAAATGCTAAGCCAAAAATGGTCACTGTAGTGTCCATAAAGGACATTACAGGCTTTATGTTTTTAATAAATCCCACCTTTGGTACCAACAATTCAAGGGTAACTTCGTCCCGTATATAACTATCAAAACGTTGCCAGTTGATGCGCCAGTAAATACCTTCATCGCCATCCAGTGACTCTGCTTTGCGTTTACGGGAACCACCTGTTGTCTCTTCAAAACATTTTGTTGAAAAATATAAAATGGATGCTAATGATAAGAACTGTGTGTCACTATATTATAAACGAACTAACCCGATGATGCTTGAAGAATAACATCTGGCATAATGTACGGATCATAACTCGTCTCAAATTGTGGACATCCTTTTAACGACGAAACTACGGGAGGACATCTAGCAATGAAATGAGATTCGCTCAACCGGCAAAATTTGTCTTTGACCTAAAAGTTAGTACTTATTTATAGCTTCTAAAACAAATTGAATAAACAACTACAATGCTCCATTCTGAACTGCTCTATTGAGAGCTAACGTTCTTGGCATTTACATTAGATCCAGGATGAATAGAAGTATTCGATGATTTAGAACAATACATAATTCGCATCAATGAAAAAATAAAGCTCTCGGTGTTGATCAATCCCAAGGGAGGCGCCATGCATTCGACTTCACTAGGTATCGTTGAATGTGAATGAATGCATATTTGGCCTTTACAGTGACTTGCGGTGGTCCACCGATGTATCGAACCAGTGTTGCTATCCTCCCAGACAAGTTTGGTACCAATTTGCCGACTCCTTGAGGGATGGAAGGTATGGTGAGCCTTGGGCGAGGTGACTGATTCCATGTGTATTGCTGGGCGCCTCAGACCGCTGCGCTACACGCGCCATAAATATACTATTTACAGATATACTGAGTAGATTGAAGGCTCACTCACTGCTATATTGTCTGTTGATGTAATATAAGTGATTCGTTTTATGGAAAAGCCTTCAGTAAAGCACAAATTATCCCTCCCCCTTTCCTCCTTCCTCCTACAGCGAAGTCCGAGTCATTGTAAAGGCTAGATATGCATTCAGCTACCTCGAACGATGCTTAATGAAGTCTAATGCATGGCGATTCCCTCAACGTTTAATCAATGTCGAGAGCTTTATCCTTTTTTGTCTTTATCGAAGAAAAAACGTTTTCTGCAGACCAAAAACATATTCTACTTATATATTTTCTCTGCGCAAACTCGACAAAAGTACCAACGGCAAGTACACCAAATCGGGTTCTCGAATTCAGAACAAAACATTTGTGCCAGAGTTAATAACCCTCGTCGTCATCTTACCACGTGGTGCTGCCTCGTTGTTTATATAGAGAAAGAACTCAAAGTGAGGAAGAAGGAATACACGGATTCACGACTATTTGGTATGCAATGAAAGAAGAGTAAACAGAGCTGCCAGATAGGACATTACTGTGAAAAGCTACTTGTTTTAAAGTCACACACGCCGGCAAATTATATAGAGCAATATAGACTATTCTATACCTCACAGGAAATAGCCTCTGTACTCGGTTGGGATTTTTGAAGGCCCTATTCGAAGTTTATAGTGTGCTGGGAACGTTCCACCCCGGCTATCTCAGGATTCCACGAAAAATCGACTTGACCATCATTCAACGATATCCATAATAAAACGAAAACCCTCACGCAGTAGCCGAACCCAGGCACTAAAGCGTGGAGAGCTTCGTGGATGATGGAAGCTGGGAAACGAATCGAATGAATGAACTGGTGAGATTCGCATAGCACATTTGAAAGACAGGTCGCGTAAAATAAAATATGCAAGTAAAATAATGTAGCAGTAAATAATATCAAAACCCACGTCTTCTATAGGTTGTTCGAGACGAGCTGCAACTTTCCGAATGGTGTTTGAACAAGTCAGACGACCATTGCTGAACAACTCCTCACAAATCGCCTCAGCCAAACCTCCATACAATGTCTTCACTATTAAACAACACCTTCAATGCTTCCGTTATTTAAAGCAGATAGGAAGGTCAGATTTCAAGAAGAAATCTTATACCTTGGAACTTTCGAAAAGGCGAGAACTGCTGCTTTGTCAACCGAATAGATTATTCGCATTCCAGAATCCATTTTGAAATTAACGATAGAATATTGATTGAGCATCGCCAGTGATTTTCTGATCTAAAAATTTTGAGGCGTCAATAGCATCACAATATTCTTCTACTTGGATACTTGGACGGACCGTTTTCACTAGTTCTGCGGACCCAGCACAATTTCCACTTATCCAGAGTTTTGCTGGCTTAATCATTGTGGTTACCTGGAGTCCCAAGATCAACCTAGCCAAAGATTGCCCGAGATCGTCACCACCACAAACAGCCACCGCCCTCGTCGATCAGAAGCTTTGCCATCACGAGACAAGTTTGATACGAGGACAGTGGTGATTCCTGGTGGTACTGGTTTACTCTTAGGTGGACTACCTGATAGAAACGCCGGACTCCTCAGCTTGGAAGACCTTGTTGGGGGATGAATCTCCTGCTACTACAGAGCACCCCGACACCCCACACCCAGGAACACCTCCCAGTCACAATGGTAAACCGTTGGGAAGCATAATATTCTTCACGAATAGAAATTTCGGATGTAAGCCAAACCGAGAGCCTTGGGACGAAGAACATGTGAATTAATTTGTCACATTCCAGGAAAATAAAAAATAATAGGCTATCTACTACCAACCTTTCAAAAAAAAGAAAAAAGAAAAAACCATGGCTAAAATGATGTCGTACCGTGTTGAACTTCACTTGTCCCCGTAGGCGAAGCTTAATTGCTGATAGTGGTCCAGGTTCGCGTAGTAGAGTCGAAACTACGAGCGCCACTGCCTTTCCAAAATGCTCTTCAATGAGCACCTGGCATAGCTCAGCTTCGAAGTGACCCACCATTTCATCCAGGAAACATCTGTCTACAAAGCTCGTGACATGGCCGGAAATTGAAGCTGAACGCCATCAATATTGAGATTGGCTGTAGATCGAGATAAAACAATAGCTAGAAGCTGTTATGTAGTAACCGAAGACCGAACAGATTAGAACTCTGTTACATTCAAAATACAATGAAAGTAAAGTATGAATGGTATTTTAGTCTATACAAAAAAACCATAAGCAACAATAGGAGATAACAATCAACAAGTTACAGCGGGTCGAACAACAGTCAAATCCTATAAAATTAACACATCAATCGATACAGGATCACTGCTTCCTCTTAAGTATCTTGTTCTGAAAAAAAATAAAAGAGTTCATTAATATCGCGAAGAAATATAAACAAGTTATGACGTCACCTTTGTTTTCATCCTTATCTTTTTGTTCCTCTTCCTTTCAAGACGCGTCTTTTTTCCTTTAGGTCCATCTGCTTGACTGCCTTTTCTGAAAAATTAACAAAATGGAGTTACCAATCGCAGTGCCAACCTTCAAAGCGCATTCGTTGGAATAACCGTACTAAGCATTAAATTTCTCTAAGATAAAAAATAAGAAGGATAAAGGTCTTAGCGTTGATCAATCCCTGTGGCATGCGCCATGCATTCGACTTCAGTAAGCATCGTTGGAGATGAATGAATGCATATGTGAGCTTTACTATGACTACTATGACTCGTGGTGATCTAACGATGTGTTGTGTCGGTGCTGCTATCATTCTAGACAAGTCTGCTAACAGCTTGCCGACCCCGGTGGTCTGGAAAGCTTGGTGGGCCTTGAGAACGTGGATCGATCCCATATGTATTGCAAGGCTACTCCGAGCACTGCTCTACACGCGCCCATTTGTTGCAGAGGTACATTAGATTTCCCATGAAATGTCTTTAAAAATGAATAAAGCGGTAAAAGCTAAGTTCAAAGAAAAAAGTGGAAAACCTCTTTTTATTGGTAGATAAGGCCTCTCCTGATTCATTCCTCATCATGTAATTGCCAAAGTTAAACAAATCGTCCAAAGCATTATCGCGATTTAATCGCTGTTCTCGTTTCTTTTGTGCCTTCGTCATACGCAAACGAACGAAGTTGTCTTCCTCATACCTGAAAGAAAGAAAAAAAGCAGGATGTGAAATACTAAGGACGAATGGAAGACTTGAAAAAAAAAACGTACGCCTCTCTTTCCTTGTCGTCTTTGTACTTGCGGATATTTTTCTCCTAAACCAGTAAGAAGAATGGTTATATTGAAATCGAAACAACTAGGAAGGAAATCGTAGCCAAGAACGATGAACAGCCATCCTGTCCAACTCTTTTAGTACAACAACGTACCCTAAATTCCTCTGGAGCATCACTGTATTGCTGTTTCAATTCCTGAATTAAACTACTTTGCAGAGCACGTCGCTTAGCTTTCTCCATTGCCTTTGTTTGTTGGTGGTCATGTTCATCTACAAAACCAACGAAGCTGATCCAAACGCTAATAAAACTGACAAATAAATACAATTTCTTCAAGCATCAGTGGCAAAAAGAATGATGACAATTGGCGAAATACAACCAAAATGATGCTATCTTTGATGGGACTTCGGATACGCAGGGTATCCTTCGGTGCTAGGACTGCGCCCAGGAGAGTAAGAGATTCTCTCGATGAATGCCCGAGGGAGGCTGTCCAAAGATTTTGGTTCCAGCTCAACCAATGTTAGGGCTTCGGATACCTAAGGTTCCCTTCGATGCTGGGACCGGTCCCGTAATAGCCAGGGCTTTCCTCGCTAGAAGATTTTTGCAAAATTTAGGCCCTAGGCCAGATCGAACCGCGATTACCTTTAGTGCTCAGCCTTGAAGGAAAAAATTTGTAATGAGCAGTAGGTAAAAGTTATACATAATGAGGACGATATGTTTCAACATTCAAATTCAGCTAGTAAGAAAGTGGTAGGCAGTCTAAACGACAGTGATAAATATAGCGTCCAAAAGGAATGTATGGTTTCTATTCCAAATAAGAGCAACAGCAATATCTACCTTCATATTTGACAGCCATCATTTTTGGTGGAACATATTTCTTTGGTTTTTTCTCATCTTCATTGTTGTCACTCTGTTCACCATTTGACTCTGAGTCGTCATCGAACTAAACCACTGCTTTATTAACAAAACACGAACTCACAGAAAAGTATAGGAAAATCTTACCTCCATTTGCTCAGGTCTTGCTCGAAGTGGAGCCTTTACCTCACCGGTGTGAACGCCCTAGGAATGGAACAGTTATGCTGATTGTCCTCAGCAGTATCAGTTTAAAGCAGTGCGTGAAAATACCTGAATAAGCCTTTCAATTTGAGACCTCATCTTCTGTTCAATGGGACGTATGTTCTCCAAAATCTGAATGAGTTGCTCTTATGGATTTTACATAGAAGAAAGAGTCATTCTTACAGAATGAGAGAAGATAACTACAGAACTATAGAAATGTGTCCCAAACATAAGTGGAAGACATCAAAGAACTTTAAGAAACGATAGTGGGAAAAGTAAACCGTTCGATGCTTGGCTGCACGAAATACGGAAGGATTCTCCTTTATTGACTTCCCACAGCTCATATGACCCATAAGTAAGGACAACTCGGTCATATATGCGAGCATTTCACGATTCTTCACATCCAACAAACTGATACCCTAAATTTCGGGCTATTTAACCCTATCACGTAGCAGCCTGCCCATAATTTCATGTAAAAGACGAACTTCACGTTCATTATCAGCACTTCTCAAGTAAGAAGCAAGCTTCTCAGCGGTTTCGACAGCTTCAGTTGATGTTTCTGCGCATTCACGAACAACTTGCGCAAACTTCAAAGATGTTTCCTCATCAACCATTTCACCTGAACCGGAAGCATATTCTCTAGCGATTTTCCAATGGTAGACAAGGACATTACGGTAATGTCACCAACGGGAGTACCAATGATAATCTACAGCAGGTACCAGTTAATATTTATCCAAATCTATATAAGACGCATCACTTCACCGTAATAAAGACAACATGAAGAAACTGATACCCGTAAAACTCTCCGTACCAAACTATGGTGACAATCTAAGAATAGAACAGACACATCACTCAGGTTGTGAGGTGCAAGGTTCGTCGGAATATGTTCGGTTTCCTTTCGTGTACGCCACAAACATCTCTTTCAGAAATGACAGCTCCTTTTGAAGAGACTCAACCTGAACATGAAAAATGGTAAGCAGAGACACTTGCTTAGTACCGAATAATAAAACCACAGCGAGAACATCCAACCTGCCTTTCCAATCTTTCATTCTCTTTACGAAGTTCTTCCACCCTTCTAGCTGTCTCAGATTCTTCTAACCTTTTCTTTTCACGTGTCCTAAAACTCTAAGTGAAAACAACTAAAAATCCGACAGGAAAGTTTCTTTGTTCCATGTAAGAACAAAAAAATTATAATCATAACTTCTGAAGATTACGTATACAACACAACTATGCAATCAATAAAGAAAATAAGATATCTTCATGGCTCTAAAACCTAATGCTTAAGTTCCAGTCGACCAATTCAAAGAGTTGGATCTCACAAACAATAAATAACAACTTGAATACTTGGATACATGGATGGCCCGTCTTCACTGCTTGTGCTCGCACCAGCATAATTTCCACTCGTTCGGAGTTTTGCCGGTTTAGCCATTGTGGTTCCTAGGATTCCTGCGGTAAGCCGGGCCAAAGTCACCACAGACAGTCGCTGCCTCTGTGGATCAAAGAGAGATTTCGCATCATGTGACTAGTTTGATACCAGGATCATGGCGAATCCTGGCATTGGTTTACTCTTAGCCAGGTTTCCTGATGGAAGCGCCGGATTCAGCTTGAGACCCTGCCAGGGGGATGATTCCTCCAGCTGTACATCGCAGCCCGAGATCTAGGAACACCTCCCAGCCACGATGAGTCGGTAAACCGTTGAGAGAAGGATAAACGTCAACTACATATTCGAATGCACAATGTTTTCCTTATGAAGGAAAAATTAAAAAAGACAGTAGGAGAGACTACAAAAGGCTCAAATACATAAAATAGAAGTCCTGAGATTCCTCTACTCTCATACCTAATAAATAAATACATTAAAGATACCTGTTAACAGCTTCATTATTTCGACGTCTTTTTTCGATATACTGTTCATCCTGTTCCATCGCAGCCGAGCGAACGTTAGCTCTTTTTCGTCCAGTCATCGTAAGCAGAAACCTTCAGAAACCCTGAACATAGAATTGAACCTTATGCAAATACATGAAAACGTCCCTAAAAGCTATGCAACCGTAATCTACATATATATATATATATATATATATATATATAACAATACATGCACTCAATGGTTTACTGCCTCACCGTGGCTGAGAGGTGTTCCTGGGTGTCGGGCTGCGATGTACAGCCGAGGGATTCATCCCCGCAGTAGCATTTACCAAGCTGAGAAGGAGCCCGGCATTTCCATCAGGAAGCCCAGCTAAGAATAAACTAATACTAGGATCCACCACTGTCCTGGTACCAAACCAGTCACTTGGTGGCGAGTATCACTCTGATCCACAAGGGCGACGACAGCTTGTGGTGGTGACGACATGGGGCAGACTTTGGTCCGGTTGAGCACAGGACTCCAGGGAACCACAATGGCTAAACCAGCAAAACTCCAATATGATGGAAATTATGCTGAGGCCCGCACAACCGGTAAGGACGGGGCATCCAAGTACCACATCAGTACACATGACATATAATAAATAACATAATATAACATTACAAACACATACAACTACCTATTAATTAGAAAATCACAATCGATGGATAGTGGCAGGTATTCAATTTTGGACCGCAATTGTCCGTCAAACTCAGGGTACCCTCAATTGCACTTGCGTACAAAGTCACTAAAAAGCCGTTCAGTAATTTAGTGGTTATGTGGTTAGAGTTGTTTCGGTACTGAACCTAAAGCGTTCATTTCCAGCTTCCTAGAAATCCAGGGTTCAAGATGTCAAGGAAAATTTTATGATAGTGATGGGTCTGTATGGCTAGGATCAACGTCTCCAACTAGCGTGAACTTTCGGGAAACCTCTCAAGTCACTATGTAATCGGGGTAATCGCGCACCCCGGAAAGGGTAATCGTCATTCGATCTGGCCTTGGGTTCAAGTTTTGCAGATATCTCCCGATCATAGCCGCCTCAAGTCGCTACTTTGTATGACATGTAGAATGAACCTTGAGTTAGTATTAAGATAAAACTGCTGACAGCTCATTATGAAGGGGAAATTTTAAGTGCTCAGTAATTTTAATATGCTTCATCAGCACCAGTAGAGATTAATGTTACCAAAAGTCGGTTTTTGGGTTCGTGTAGCATAATGGTCTCAGGCGCCCTGCAATACACACATGAGATCGATCCCCGCGCCTCGACCCACCGAGCCCCGCATCACTCCAGGGTCGGAAAATTGGTACCAGACCTGTCTGTGAGGACAGCAGCACTGGCTCAACACATCGGTGGGTCACCGCAAGTCACTATAAAGGCCAGATATGCATTCAATCACCTCCAACGTTCTTAATGAAGTCGAATGCATGGCGCATCCCTCAGGGATTGATCAACGCCGAGAGCTTCATCTTTTACGCACTTCTTTTTCGTGAAAAGGAGAAAAGGGATCTGGCCTGTAGATTGACTTAGACACTTTCTCAAATGTATAGATGGCCTATCCTCACCAAAACATCCGGACGGTGCGGGCAGACTTATTCTATTCGTTTCGTTCCCCTGTAATCGTATTACAATAGAAATTGTTAGATCCGTGTGCAGGTTCCGCATTGGATTAAGGATCTACCATGCTTTCGTGTCATCGAGGTGCTGAGTAATGGCCAATGGTAGTTTTTCCTGAAATCCTGAGAGAGTCATACCAGGGCGTTCCTAGATTTTCTGGACAGACAGTGGCCAAGTCTTTGCGTTTAGTTCTATTTCACCTCTTTTGCAGCTTGGTACTTCTAATTTGGTGTACTGTACCAAACGTTGTTTCACCAGTGGTTCACCACACAGGAATCGAAAACTTCCGCGCACAAAATTCTCGAAGCACTCTGGATAAATTCCATTAATCCGAAAATGAGCCGCAGGAAGGAATGCTTCATTATCACACATGATCTCATAAAATATCTCAGGCTGATAATTTATTGTGAGAGGTTTATTGCCCACTTATACGAACTCTGTGCAATTTGTCTACACGTGGAATGTTCAGTGGAAGAATGTTCAGACTCATAGAATGCGGTGAGTGTGTGAAGAAGACTATTTTTTTTCGGTTGCTTTTTCTGTTGGGGTTATGGAGGTGTTTGGCTGAGTAGATTGCAGCCAACTTGACCTTCGCAAACTCCGAAGAGGAGAAAACCAGCCGAAGAGTGGAATACTATAAATAAATTATGCAATATCAGCCAAGTGTGTGCTTATCAAGAAAACGAAAGGCACATTATGTATGCTTTCGTCTGTAAGCTAAGAGAAAGCAAAGAGAATACATTTCTTTCTGTCTGAATTCTTTAACACAGGCAAATCTACTCGAGCACCGATAATTGGCCATATGGGACATCGGTGCGAGCTGTGGATTGAACATCTATTCCCGTCGTTTCCGTAGCTACCAGCGGAAGCCATTCGGGCGCACACCATGTCGTTTCACTTAATCAGAACTACCCGACGTATCAGATGTTTTTTCATTTCAATTTCAAATTTTGTGGTTAAATGTGTTTTTTGATCAATTCGCATTGCGTATTCTGTTTGACATTTACCTTTTCTGTTTGGTTTCCCATGGCGAAGAAGAACTAAACAAGAATAACACTGAGAAGATTTCTTCATAGCTCGTTAAAAATTCGATTCTCTTAATAAAGATCAAGGCTTGTAGAGCGGGAGGGAAGGAGAGATAAAAGAGAAATGAAGGTAAGGAGAGGAAGATATAGAGAAAGAGAAAAAGATAAAGAGGTGTAGAAGGAGATCACTTAAAATAATTCGTCTTCGGAGAAGACGTTTCGAAAGCTAAACGTGTTGACAACGTCAACTTTTTATTTACCGCCTATTATTATTTTTCACTTTAGGGTATAATGCGAAATATAAGCACTACGATGCTGAGATATTTGGGAAGCTTGGACTCTAAGCCAGATTCGAACCGGCGATTATCCTTTTGGGGATCTCACGTGTTACCCATTCCACTACTAAGACTCTTGCTCTACGTTTCTCACAGCTAAACATATTTATTTGTAGATGACAGTTGAGCGAATAACACACTCATTAGTCCTGATAGAAGCCTGCGTTGAAATAGTGTCACTCCTCCCGAAATTCTCTTTGTTGGTTTTCTTTGCATGGACATTTAATAACATAACATTGATAGAAATTTAGACAGTTCGTTCTGATGAATTGTGCGCGTCCCAGAAAAATTTGCACTTTACTGGTGCTCTGCTCTCTGGATGCGTGTGATATTCGTGTTGGGTCGTTACTAGGCTACACAGCACATTGTTGCCGACTCTTACCAATCTCGAGAAAATCTGTCGTCTTGCAACTTCTCATAGTGAAGATGACAATTCTACATCCACTTTTGTCTATGAATTCCGCCAAACATTTAAGACGACTGAAAGCAACCATTAGACCTTTATAATCTTAGTTTTTGCTGTCTATATTGAAGAAGATCCAAAGAAATTGTTCCAGCACTCCGCCTCGATTTCATGTCATTTAAAAGAGTTCGATACATTCTTTACTAAGCTCTTAACTGTGTAGCACGATGTTTCTACATGTGGAGTCAATCGTTTGGTATCAAAGTTATAATACTTTAATACTTAAATGGCCCGTTCACACTGGTTGTGCGAGCCCCAACATAATCTAAGCTCTTCAGATCTTTGCTGGTTAAGCCATTGTGGTTCCCTGGAATCCTGAGTTCAGCCTAGCCATAGTCTGCCCCAGGTCCTCACCACCACGGGCAGTTGCAGCCCACGCGGATCAGAGGGAGATTTATCATCATGCGACTTTGATGCCAAAACGGTACTGGTATTGGTTTACTCTTAGCTAAGCTTCTTGATGGAAACGCCGGACTCCTTCTCAGCTTGGAAGACCCTGGCAGGGGGATGAATGAAAGGGGTACATCGCAGCCCGACACCCAGGAACACCTCCCAACCACGATGAGGCGGTAAACTGTTGGGAGGAACGTCATAATCGAGGGGCTTATTTCGGCGGCTTCGACTTCTTGTAGAGCTCTTAAGGTAGAGCAGTTTTAGTGTCGCTAGAAACTAATATCTCTTAATGCATTCTTTCATTGATGAGTTAACACGAGGTTGATAAATATACTTTATTCAGCTAACGTTTGACGTTCTCATCTTCCTCGGACCTCCGCTTCGAAGCCGATGATCTAAGTAGATGTCCACCATCCTCGTACTCTCGATGTGATATCCTTCTCGCCTTACTCATATCTATCTTGCATAACAGAGCATCTCAAGTTGAGCTTTGCCTCATTCGAGCGGTGCTCCATCGAAGAAGGTCGGACTCGATACGACAACGAAGGAACCACATCTAGAGTGCGAACGACTATAGACATCGACTGGGATCATCGGCTCTGAGGAAGGCGAGCGAACCTCGTGTTAGATTACCAATGGAAAAAGTAGATGCCGATCAGTTGTACCAACGTTTAAGGAATGTCGATTTTGAAATAATGTCTTCTGATTCAATCTTTCTTCGGTTTCTTCTTAGTTCTCTTTTTCAAAAAACTCAAAGCTCTTCTTCTTCTTCTTAAAGCCAGTGAATTGGTAGCAGATCCGCCTACAAAAAACTGACCATTTCATTATTCGTCATTAGACATCTCCTGGACGTTTCATAAGCGAAGTCCATTCGCTGCTACGGTAAGTTTAGTTCCTTAAGAAAAACACTTGTATTGCTTCTACAATGGCTCCTATTTTGAATTACGAAATCTTGTTTCCTCCTAACGATTTACCGCCTCATCGTGGCTAGGAGGTGTTCCTGGGTGTCGGACTGCGGTGTACAACGGGTGGGGGCATCCCACGGCAGGGTGGCAGGGTATTCCAAGCTGAGAAGGAGTCCGATGCTTCCATCGGGAAGCCTAGCTAAGAGTAAGCCAATACCAGGAATGCCTTGGCATAAAAGTCGCATGGTGGCAAATCTCCCTCTAATCCACAAGGGCTGCGACTGTTTGTCGTGGTGACGACATTCCAACGCCTCGGGATTCCAGAGAACCACAGTGGCTTAACCAGCAAATCTCCGAAAAATGGCGATTATGCTGACGCTCGCACAATTAGTGAGGGCGGGCCGTTCAAGTGTCAAGTATCAAGTATTTGAGTTGATTATGGCGTTTTAAGGCTGTCTCTTAATGCATGCCATTATTGTTGCATGGTTAACGTTAAGAAGACACCTTAACCCCAAAACCCCAGCTTTTTAAGCCTTTTCTACCACCAAGCAGACATTTTATCGTAAGTAAAACGTCTAGCTTCATTTCTGATCATCGCCTATCAGAATTAAATGAGGGCCATGCGATATCCATTTTCTACCAATTTTGGCTGGGAAGTTGTCATGGAAGAGTTTTCGGACCCTGTAATGACATAGCTTTATTTTCAGACTTAGGATGGAAGTGACGAACTCCTTTTCAGCTTGGAAGACCGTGGTAAAAGGTGAACCTCCGTTCTTTGTCGCAGTTCTACACCCAGGAACACCTTTCAGCGCCGATGAGGCAGTAGACCATTATGGGTCTCCGGCGTGAAAATTTAAAAGCACTAACTTAATGGATGATATCATCATACCTGTTTTCTCCAATTGTGCGCTGTTAGTAAATCTTGTATATAGTTAGTATTGATCCGGTTTTTCTCGTGCAATCCTTTGCAGAGAGCATCCGACATAATAGCCTGTGTGCTAGTATTGATTGAAATGAGGTTAAGAATTTCTACTCCTTGATAAAAATTCTCGAAGGTTTTGGGAGACACAGATTGAGAGTTTGAGAGCGAAAGAATCCTATGCCTCCGACTAGTATTTCTTTATGACGCATGTAGCGCAATAATTCGTGCTCCCCTGCAATACCCACAGATCTTTGGTTCGTTCCCACTTCTTAGCTAATTACGCTCTCCATCACTGGGAGGTCAGGAAATTGGTACCAGCTTAGTCTGGGGGATAGAAGCAGTGACTTAATAGATCAGTAGGGTCTCGCAAGACATTGTGTAGAAAATGTGCTTCAATCATCTTGAAAATGCTAGGAATTGAGCCGAGTGCATGACGCATTCCTGGGGGATTGATTAACCAGCGTCGAATGCCCTATTTTTTTCTTTTTTAGCAAATTTTTATTAAGAAATCCACTTCATAACTCTTTACAGATAAATTACCAGCTAAACAATATGTTGACTAGAGCACTTTCTCGGATTTCAGACGTATTCCGTCCTTGTTAGCCATAATTAATACAAATCGAAACAAAAACAGTCTCTAGACAATCAGTGTTTAAATGTTTAATTTTCTATTTACTGCCTATTATTTCTTTCACGGCAAGGCAATATGTGAAAAACAACCACAATGATGCTGAGTTATTTGCAAAGCTCGGACTCCAAGACGGATTTGAACTAGCCCTTAACCTTTCCTGGGGCTCACCAGTTACCCATTGAGGCCTTTGCTTTGCATTCTTCTCTGCCTATGGTTTTTAATTCTAGCGGTACCATCAACAATGAGAATCTGGCTTGGGGTCCAAGATTTACAAAAAACTTAGGATCATTGTTTACTTTCAATGCGCATTCATCTATAACACGTATATATTCATAGAAACAGTAGATAGCAATAATATACCATTTCAGTTGAATTTCGCATATGTTTTGTATATGGAAAGCATTTGGACGAGCAGCACATCGCTCATCATGAACAGAAATGCCTCGAAGGTACGAGTCTACCGTATTTCTTTAAATCTCGCTATGTGAGGCATTAGGAGGAACGGATCTCTCTATTGAGTGAATATAGTATTCAATTCCAGTTGAAAAGCAGAGGAAAAAATTTCTTTCTGTTTAAAGTTTGAAGAGCTTACGCTTGACTTTAATAGGATGTCACTTTTCACTAAACACATTAGAAATGGAGCCGGTTTTCTCACAACAGATGCAACTTTCTCACAACCCTGATCCATTCTTTGGATGCTAGGATAATCCCAGGAATCCCAGTATTGAAAGAATGGATCAAAGTGAAGAATTCTCTGTAGCCATCGAAGAACAAGCCAGGATGAATAATTGAAATAACTCCTTTAAAGAAAAGACTTTAGATGAAAAGTACATTGACTCAATTGGAACGAATCGTGACGTTCATTTGAAGGCAAACAAAGGTGAAAAGCCAGATCGTGGAGACCGTGAGAAGGACAGACGATTGTTTCTTCATTAAAAGAATGGTAGAAGAGTTGAGAACTTCAGAGATCTACAGAAGAGACTTTGTTCTTCGCTTTGATGGTATATCTCCGTTGATGCTCTCCGGTTTTTTTTTCGTTTGTTCACATGCTTCCTTGTCTGGGAAACGAGCGTTAATAAGAAAGGTGAAAGACTACCCTTTATGAATTGCAGAGAACCTGAATTTCATCTTGGTAAACTAAAATAACTTATAGCTTGTCAGCAGTTACTGTAGATTCCAATGGCTTTGAGTAATTAATAAGCATTGTTGTAAGGTGAAATATATCGGTTTAAACAACAAATATTGTTCTTTTCAAACATATAGTTCTAAATTTGAAGCAATTATTTTCTCGTTCTACGCATTGAAATTAATGCGCATCGTGAAATACTTGTTAAACATTACTGTGGAAATCATTTACCAAGCAAAATCACTACTTGACGTTGCGTTAAAAATGTAAGACGAGTTCATAAAATCGAAAAAACTCATCACTTTTCAGACTGGTACAAGACATGCGATCGACTTAGATCGCGTTTCAAGTTTCGAGCACCAGTACCGCTGCTGGTCCCCTCTGTAGATGGTACGTGCGACGTTCGTCGACTGAACAGACACGCAGCCGTTCAGGTCGCCATGGCATAAGTCCTACAATGCCGGAGATGTGCTGCAGAAGTGTTTTTGAGCGTTGCTGAGCAACATCGATGCAGTCGACACTAGCCAGCTATCGAATTCTTTTCCTAGCTGTCACTGTTGTCCTGGAAGTTTGTTTTATTCTAGGTCTATGTAGTTCCTAAGGAACATTTCCATAAAGAATTTGTCATAGAATGGATCTCTGCTTTCCTAGAACACTTTCTTTGAATTCTGGTTTGACACATGAACAGTGCCTCATAGTAGCCGCTAAAGGTCATCTTCGTTTAGAAGTAACATTCAAAACCTTAGCCTTGGTTCGCTAAGATCAATTATCAGATACCGATTAATCCACAGAAGAAAAATTCGAGTAGAAAGAGTTATCTTTAACTCGTCTTCTCTCCATTCCTTTTTTGTCAGTATTTTTTTCGGCCATTCTTAACATCCATAATCTTTTTCTCTTTATCCTTTTGTATTTTCTCTGCTCTTCATCACAGATTCCGAAGTGTATAAAAAAATATTTCGCGCTTAAAACAGGTTCACGGCTGAATTCTAAAGGATGTCGGAATGGCCTGATTTCTATGAATATGACCGCACATCTTAAAAACAAATAGCAACCCAAATGAGGTGTAAACACCAGTATATTGAAAAGGGGTTTTTCTCGAGTAAGAAAAAGTATCCGCATGAGTTTTACCTGTTCCTGAAATGAGGAATCAGAAATTATACGGAATGCTTGCTCAACGTTGGTGTCGAAGTTCCTCAAGCTCTTCACAATGGTCAGGGCATGATTGTTCCGGTGATCCATTACTCTGACATTCAAATGTCACACCTTGGAAAAGAAACAAACAGCAGCCCAGAATTGGTTATCTCAAAATATGGTTATAGTTATCTCAAAATTTTTGTTGGTTGCTGACATTTCGAAGGAAATATTTCATCAGAAAGTGCTTGCTGATAAAGAAGACTCAAAATGCTCTACATTTAATGGTTACGTGGGGTGAAAGTTAAAGTGGGCGAAGTGCATTCCACCAAAGGCATTCCCTTTTCAGTGCTTTATTTTGCCTTACAAAAAGGTTTTGTCCCACTTTTTGTGTCCATTAATCCAAGACAGGTGGTGTGTCAGACGTGGCCTATGGGAACCTAGTCTCAACCCTTAATATTTTGTAAAATGGGTTTTCTGGGTCAAGTTGATTAACCGGCAATTTGCCTTGCAGTTGATTTATATTTCAATTGTCATCAGTATGGCGAGTTAAAGCTATCAGATGGAGCGTTTAGGTATAAAAATACTGGAATAGACATAGCATAGGTTTCAAAAAACACTTCCAAGTGCTAACAGTAATGTGTTTGTACGCTGGACCACAATAACATGTAGTAAACTGTGGCCTACATATCATTCATGCCCATAAACCAATAGGGTGAGGTCTTTTCTATATCGCGCTGTGCTGCCAATCTCTCAAGTCCTCTGGTTATCGAAAAATTTTTGCTCTGAAAGCTAGAAAATCCGTGCTCAACTGACAAGAAATTAGGTATCGGCCTAGGCCACAGCTACAATAATTTTATCATTGTGCACTATGCGTTAAATTAATATCATTCCTTTGACGATTCACTGAACACGAAACTATTGATTGATTTTCTGACTTCAAATCAAAGCTTTGTTCTAATAAGCATGAAGATGAATAGACAGGAAAGCCTGTGGTTTTCGTTGCCTGTGTGCGTAGTAACCTCATCTTTTTTCTTCATTGCCCTTAATGATTATTTTGGTGTTAATGTTATTGAATTTAGCCTTATACGATGTGCTATTGTTCTGTTGAATTCTTCTAAAATCGGATTTGTTACAGTCGACTTTTTGATAGCTGAAATTAAGCAAATATATGGAAGAATTGGGCGACGCATGTGGCGCAGTGGTCGGAGACGCCATGTGACACACACATGGGATCGATCCGCCTGCCCGTGGCTCACCGGGCCTTGTAACGCTCCGGGTGGGCAAATTGCTATCAAACTTGTCTGGGAGGATAGCAGCACTGGCTCGATACATCGGTAGGTTGCCACGAGTCATTGTAAAGACCAGATGTAGATTCAATAACCTCCAACGATAGTTAATGAAGTCGAATGCACGACATATCATACATACCCTCATGAAGGGAGAGCAACGCCGAGAGCTTCATCCTTTTTTATGGAAGAATTACTGAACGTTGTTTAATGTCGATGAATGTGCAGGCATCACCCATCCTTCTGCAATAGTAATTTCGTATGGCATTGAGATAAATCGCCAAATCAATGTATATGCTCTTATCTTGAGCAATAAAACACTCTTGTAAGTACACACAAAGGTTATCAACATTCATCATTTAAGAAACGCTAGATGTCTTTGAATAAAGCGAACCGAATTGTTTATTTCGATTTTACCATATGTACTATTCCCACCCTTTTTTAAAGGATATTTTTCTATTTTATTTTACTTAACCAGTCTTCACCTCTAGCGGAATCAAACCAGCACCGTGTTCGTGATGACGGACATTACTGCTACTGTGCTATCCACCCCCTTTTAAAGCACAACCTGTATGAAATTAGGAACAAAGGAAAACAGTTTTTAGTTCAGCAGTTCACCTTTATTGTCATGTCTTGGTCACCGTATTCATGAGCGGATATCGATTGAAATCCCCAAAAATCTAGTCCATCAACAAACACCGTTCGGGTTTAGTAATTGAAAGGTGATAAAGTCTTCTAACTACTGCTGCAAGCTCACTTTTTCGTAATCGAAAGAATGCTAGCTATTTGAATTATTTACCGGTAACGCTTTCAAGTTATTAGCAAATAGAAACTGTACATCAAAAGTCCTTATCATACAGACATTAAGGAGCCGTTCGACCTCGAAATCCTGTCGTGCGGCGGTGTCACTGCTCGGGACCCAACAAGTCAGCTGAATCATCCACTGACGGAGACGTCACAAATAGCTCAACTATGCACGGAAAAGAACAAGGATGTGAATCATTCGAATGAGTTTCAAGATTCCAGTTCACTACGGGCGCGTAAAGGAGTGTATTTGTAGTGAAGAACAGAGGTTACGCCCTTCATGAGGCCGTAATGAATGAAACGCTGAAGGCCAGATTCCTGTTTCTAGGCGAACCAACTGGAAAATCGTTTTTTTTTGCGATCATTTGGGTTTTCTCTACAATAGTTATTTCGTATCTGGAAAACCGTTTTATCACCATGGCTTTTTTAGCAGACAACTAACCTGAAGCTAAACAGAGCGTTAAGGAAGAGCGTTGAAGTACAACCGCCACATTAGTCATGGACGATGACTTGACAGCCTAAACTTTTTCACCATCTATCACATTTTCTTGATCATATCGAAGCAAAAGTGATCACCTAGTTGTGAACCGGAACGGCACTCAATTGCGTCTGTGGATGTTTTGACGAAGGCGCCAGAGAGATAGATGGGCGTAATGTGGTCGCCCACAGCAAAACTGAATGTTTTTGAAATTGGAAGTTTCAAGACAATTTGTTTATAACAGAGGATTCATTCAGTTATCCATGGAATGCAAGGATACGATCAATTCTTCTGACTGAGGCTGTTAGTGTACCTCCTTCGAATACCTAAGTCCCATACCCCGCACCCCATGATAACAACTAGGTCGCAGCATTTTGTAGTGAACTTGTTCCAACAGTGCCATGTCTTTTAGCCATCACTGACAACATGAGCGTCAAAAATGGATTAATGCAAATGCCTGACACAAGCTCAAGTGGTACAGTTACGGGCGTGAATGGACGCAAACGACGTGAGACCGTTTGATTTCATCAAAACCACCATGATCTTCACTCCTCAAAGCTCAAAAGCCTTTCTATCGACATTAGAGCTCGAAATTTCTAAACGAAGAGTACGGTAAGAAAACTGACAGGCTATCGTTAGCCGAGGGTCTTGCCATGATGATGTCATCGCTGTCCTATGGTTCTGTAACTTAAGTTTATCTTTTCAGAAGAAAGGAATATCAGAAACTTCTCTATAAATCTTATGACTATCATGAATTTAATGTAATGTACCTTGTATTATTAAATATAAGTGAATCAGGACAACGATCCATAACTGTCGTGCTGATTCATGGGTGTTCAATAACGTCTCCAATCTTCTTACTCACCTAGGTGACATGTGGGTCTAGTGCTCAAGAACAACTTTGCAGCTGGCATACCGTCTATGGCTTTTCTTTTTTTCTTGAAAATAGTAGTTTGCGGAGGTATTTTTATACAAGACCCATCTTTCACATCTACTATTCGGATCCCAGCACTTGCTACGTCCGATTTGTTTCTCCCTATCCGCCAAGGTTCACCGACCTTTTGCGTGTGGTTTCGACTCCTGCTTGAAGATTTTCTTTTCGTCATGAATATATTTGAGTGCTGCTTGAATTAATTCACCTTGCAGTCCTGAGTTAGCCGAGCTAGAGCGTTTCTATTTGGATTGAAGAGAGTGAGCTTTCCCCAGACAAATCCAGTGGCAATTTCCTGATTCGAGAGGCACAACAGGGTCTCTGGCCTTGGAGCTGGATCGAACTAGTAGTGTTCATGATGATCGGCATCACTACCACTGTGCTACACGCCACCTGTTGAAGGGTTACAAGAGCAAAAATTGGGAAAAAATGATTACTTCAACCACGGATACACATTTCTAGTTCAAACATCGGTTAGTCTTCTTGGTGGACTTGATCGAGATCGCTTTACCTTTCCGCAGATCAACTCATTTTTTTGAACGATTTATTACACTCTCTTCTGATTTCACAAGTTTATTCAACTTTCCCTGTGTACAAGTAGTGCTTTTGCTTCTGGTTGCTCACGACGAAGAAACACTTTCTTGCAGTTCGAGATCTGCCCTAATCTCATATACAATGATCAATCCCTAGGAGATTTCTCTTGTGGTTATCGTCAGAGGTGTTCGCAATCTTAATGTGAGCGAGAAAAAGACCCACTCTAATGAAAAAGACTGTGAAGAACAGCTATTGGGACAAATAGCTCTGCGCCGACGCTTGGCCGATTTGCTTTTGGTTTCTTTTAGAATCGGGAGGAGATAATTTACCTGCACCTCCAGAAGAAGGGATACATTAATAAGTGGGCGGCGACATGATTGA